ATATAGAAATCCCTTATGAACGTCATTGTGCATGGAACGGCCTGTGCGTAACATGCTGATAATTCGAAAAAAATAATTATGGTATAATTTGTAACCCGTCGAGACTACTCAAATATAATTGGTCATACGTCAAACATGTCAGGTCGATTGTGTTAAAAAGAGACCGATTGTTTTTTCCATGAATGCGATTGTTTGACAACGTCTGGCGTCTATTTCGGAAATATCTTGGTGTGATGTGCGTCTTGGGGAAAAAGATTACACAAAATGCCAATCAAGGAGATAACACGAATATTACATTATTACAGTTTCATTTCTGAAAGGCAAATATACACTGCCGTGAATTCCAAAGGGGCAGCACTTTGTTCGCCTTAAAAGTCCAAAATAAGTTCAGTGTCTCCTCCATCAACTTCAACTTGTGAAATTGTCATTATTTTCTTGGAAAGGTGTTTCTGTTGGAACGATTTTATAATGGTGTTACTCTAGTGCATTATTTGTAAATGTATTACGAAAAAAGTGGTTGAGTGAAATTGGATACTGAACCCTATTCACTCGAGACGGGGTCTTAAATGAGGAATCTTCGCATTGCTGACGTCTTGCAGTGGGCTTAAGCAAGGTTTTCGTTGAGTTGCATCCTTAGAAATCAACCGTATAAACAGAAATCTTGAGTGGGAGCAAGTGACAGTGACCGAGATGAACTTGCAAAGAAAGCTCCAGGGAAATATTTTAGTCACTTACACATACCTACAAGTATTTTCTACCGATTTTGTATTTTTTCATTTACACTGTAACGATTGTTCCCATAAATTAAATATTATGGTTGTTCATGTTAATTATGTCGGAGTGACGAGCACACGGATGTATAAATCGGCTTGAAGTTTTATAAATATATATATATATTGAATGAATATTGGTAAGTGTATATGTTAGAAAAAAGAATTAAAACAATTTCAATCAATTTCGCCATTTTGTTCATTCCAAAAAGCGCACTTCCAAATTCCTTTGCTACTCTACGATGGACTGCATTGTGGGATATTAAAGCTCTTCAAGGAACAAACCCTAAAAGTTACTTCTGTCCTTCGCTAAATTGTAAATATCTAGTTGATGCAAGTCCATTATGTATTTTATCGCTATGGATTGGCTTATCATATAGATAAAGGCATTTGTTTGACTGAACCATCATTTTAATGACGCTGTCTAATTCTGGGATAAATAAGTAGGCCTTTCATGACAAAATAATCCCATGTTATACTTTGTAACAATGTTTCGTGTTTCCCCTCTGGTCAAAATTATGGTCATGTCATGGAATAATTAGTACCTATCATTTTTATGTATCCATTGATTAACGATACGCTACGAAGCCTCTTATGGCCGCTCTGAGTATGTGACATGCTATGCTTTGGTCCAGATAACACAGTGATATACTTACCGTTGACTTATTTAATGACACTCGTACAAACAAGACAGTGTCGCCTCAAACAAATGGGTGGGGGTGGGGTCACTGGTGAAGTGTCTGAAAATCGATTGTTGCCTTTCCATTTGATCAACGTTTAAAACCTCTTCATCTTCGAGTGGGATTATTATCTTAAGATATCAATTATGTCCACCCACTTTCTGCACAATTGAGTTTACAATTGAAAGTTTCAAAAGCGTGATTAAACTCCATAAGGGTATTGTAAGCTTTAATTATCATCCAGATGCCGAAAACGACATTTTTCCTGCATCTAATTATTCAATAATGGATATATCTTTGTGCTGATTTAAAACAATAAAATTCCTCTCGAAAATATAAAATGAACGTTTATATTTCTCGCTGCAATGTAAAAGCATAGGCTACTCAAAGCTTTAATCGTCAGTGTAACACCTTTATATTTTAAGGTGAGATAGCAAACGGCATGGGGCTTAGCTTCATCCCTGAACAAGATTTGTCACGAAAATCGTCGTAGTTGACCACGAGTGTATGGGGTACAATCTCGTGCCGTTATTTTGGTTTAAATGTTTTTGTTATGGAGTTATGAGCCCCTAATGGCAGAATGGCAGATTTGTATTAAACAAAGGCATTATTTTGCTTTATTAACGATAAAATCTGATCTAAGGCTTTTGAGAAAGATCGCTCGCAGGATTGAAACGTTGTTCGTGGTTGCTCAGGTAATTTTAAAAACCGATTTTTCATTATTTACCCAAAAATCGCAATTATGACGTTACTCGACATGTTTGGAAATGTTAATAAAACTCACTGAACACTGAAGATTTATCTATTATCCAAAAGAATGTAGATTTTATAAAGCAGTAAATGAGGGGGGGGGGTGGCAAAGGCCAACAACACCCTTAAATAGTGTTTCCTAGGAGTCTGTTACCCACAAAGTATCAACCTTTGAGGACTGGTGTCCCAGTCACTGTTGTACGAAAACCACATTTCATTTGTGCTATGAACAGGAGTGTTACTGTAGTCGTAGACGAATATATTTGTCCAAGCTGTAGCAAAGAGAAAGTAGTTACCGATTGGCAGCGGCAGTGGACATAAAAACTTTTGTAAAGGAAGTTCTGTCCTAATTATTCTAATTAGTTAATTGATGTTTTGTTGGTGTTTTATTGATTCGACGCAAAGTCACTCACACAGTAAGAACAATTCCTTAAGTGCATTATAATCCACCGATCTCCATGGTCGATTTGCTTTCTCATTCTATATAATGAACGTTTATTACCTCCTAGATATACATTAGGCAATGGACCTATTGTCAGAATACGTGCCTTGCGTGTAGACAGTGTGTAGACGAGGAAGGCGTTATTGGAATACCGAGAACAGTGCAAAGAGAAGCCTTTTACCTATCACAATTATGGAAACGTGAAGCATGTTTAACATGTTGTTGAAAGTTTAAGGTTATTACAGTTTTAAGTCTTGTCCTACATAATCATACATATTAAATTTCAAGCAAAGGCATTATATGGCGCGACTCCCAATAACGCCAACTCTGTTTTGGCTAGTTAAATCTGAAACTTTTCTTACGATATTTTTTTCGTTTTGGGCATGAATTTGAGTAAGGTTAATGACAAAAGGAATGTGTTGAATTCTAGCCAAGCAAAAGTCCTTGTGTCAAATCCATATCTTTCTTTAAAAAGTAAGTACAAATGCGTTGTTTTCAAAAGAAGCCGCATTGTCAGTCAACGGGCTGTATCATTTGCAAGAATGACGTTTTCCAGTGTGCAGTTTCGTCAGAGATCTTGCATAAGCTATAACCCTTGTCAAAATGCACATATTTGGGAGAGAAGGATTTTTGGAGTTGACATATCTCTGATTCAGAAAAAAAAATGTTGCATCTGGTAAACACACAGATGTGCCAAGAATGCAGGTGTTAATTTAAAGAGTATTTTGAGAAGGTAATCTGCACAAGACCTTGGCCTTGGCTAACTCGTGAAATGTGTTTTGCATTTATTTCAGTTATTGCATACTTAATCTGACCTAATCACATGGCAAGTTACAAGTTCACAAGTCTGTCCACGGTACTTGGTAACATTGAGACAAACGTGGACCAAGTTCTGTCGCAACTGACAAAGAGCCACCAAGCAACAATAATAAATTAAATAGAATTTTAAATTAAAATGCCTTAACTCATCTTTCGACCTGGTTACTAATGCTCTTACGTATTAATAATAATAATAATTGATAGTTATGTAGATGTCAGTGGATCTAACTTATAGCAATAGCTTCCCATTCTCACAACCAAGACCAGAGAGAACGTGGATTAAGAGATGACATTACGCAACAGATTGGCGCCAAAGAATCTAATGGGACTTGCAGTCATAACTAATCAGGCAAAATACCAATCTTGGAATGCATCAAAACTTTAATTGATGTGGCACTAGTCAGTCCATGTTAATGTTGTTCGTGACAAATGTTTTATAAATAGGATGAGACAAGTTATAGAATCTCCTAATTACATTAGAAACATGACACAACTTCGAGTCGTGACATTCGGTTCTGAGATCAATACAAATGGCATGACACAAGATAGCGAGACGTGGTTTGTGTCTATTTTTTGTGAGTGAATGTCGTGTTGGGAATAAAATCATGTAGTTTCTATATTTTGAGCTTCTGCAGAGACAATTAATGACGGCAAAGCATTGTAGTGGTAAAAGCAGCAATGAATATGCACCAATCACAGGGCTGGATTAACTGGGAGGGATGTATAGGCAGGTAAAATATATATAAAAAGGGGGATTGTTTCATATGAATTGTGATATGATATTTTAGATATTTAAAAGAACAAAGTTTTAGGAGAACATACTGATTTTAATGAACAAAAAAGTAGAAGAATGCCCTGAAGTATACAGCCATGGGGCTTTTTAAATATGTAACGGGGCGCATGGTGCTGGTAGTGATTCTGCCCTGCTGAATAAACACAAAGACAGTACATGTACATTTCCATTGACATTGTAACAGTTGAAGAACATATGCGACATAGGGACTGTCGCATGATATAAGATTAGGACCCTCCAAACATATGTTTGGTGGGTTCTAGATTGTATTTAATTTCTCGATAGGATTGACTTGTGGCGTCATACTTAATCAGTAGCCTTTACACTATCCTGCTGTGTATATGATAATGTACTGTATAATCTCGGTTCTTGTGCGTGGTTTTGTGTGTGTGTGTGTGTGCAGTAGCGGATTTAGTTTGGAGGGGGGAGGGGGGTCCTGGATCCGCCCGTGTGTGTGTGTGTGTGTGTGTGTGTGTGTGTGTGTGATTTTCCGTTGTTCTTAGTCAAGTACACCTGTCTTTTTTTTTTTTTTTTTTTTGCATACTGGTATTGGTGTGCACCATAGACAAAAATATGAGTAGAAGTACAAGTAGGCAGAAACAAATCAGCGTGGAACGTACAGCAAGGGCATAATTGTTTTTGTTGTTGCTTTTTATTAAAGTTGAAAAGATTATACAAACCCCCCACCCTTTGTAAATATTTTTTTCTTTTCAGGCGGCCTATTTGGTAGAGATGATGAAAGTAAAATGGCCGAAAATGCCCTGAAGTATTTAGTGAGTAGAATTAACAAAGACAACGGATGCCTACGCGGTATAAAACTCCGACTGGATGTCCAGCGTCTCAAACCTCACAATAGCTTTGATGCATCCAAAAAAGGTGAGTGGCGGTTTGTTTTACGAAGGGGTGTTTTAGACTGACTGCTACCTGTGTTTTCTATAAAGGAATGGCATTGCTTAATTTTCTGATTCCTGGATTCAATCTTGGACCCATCAAAAATAGTACACGTATATGTATGGATGTATGTACATGGTATGTTATATATGTCTATTTGACATATGGACTTTACACTTAAAAAAAAAAGATACTGGGGTAAACGACACGCTGACTTTTTTCTTCGGTTAATGATTTCGATGAATGCCTTAAATTTTTCAAAAACATTGAAGTGTGATTTTAATGGAGAGAGACCATCGTGATGATAAGCCACGTCGAGCTGACATCACTCCTGTTGCGTTTTATGGCAGTCTGCTTCCGCTCTCTCCATTACGACAATGAGTGCATGGGCAGCCCAAGTCCCTTCTGAGCTTGTAGTGTTTTAGTACGTGGTAAACGTAGGCGTAACTGGAAACTCCGATTCAGATAGAATTAAGTGTGAAAGTATATTTATCGCCAATGGGAGTCGCATGTCCTGATAGAAAATCCAATTTTTGATCATAATTAGACCAATTTAGGTTCAAACAGCATTGATTTTGACAGAAACATAATTATTTATCCCTCTATTTACTTAATTTAACTTTCTATTCTTAATCATATCACTGAAAGCATTTCTCAGTTGCATTTAGATCGAACTAAATTTAACAAAGCTACTTTAGCCCCATCTATAAAAAGGGTAGTTGCAATACCCGCTTTGACGTAACATCCTGAGCCTCTAACCTACATGATCTGCCAGTAATGCTAAACGGTAAAATAGCGGGTCATCAAAATGGTGATTGCAACCAAGCGTTTGGTTCCAAAGTGAGAAAAATGTTGTATTTTTTTTTGTTTGTTCTAAAACCGACCAGAACACGGATTTAGCTTGCTTCTGTGTATTTTAATGACAAACCTACCTGTTTACTTGTGAAGTATAGCGTCACTTTATTAAAGTTCGGAGATCTTCCATAGACATCGGACAGAATAAGCGGGATATGCATGTCCAATTAGATCAATTTTCAATTCTTCTCCATTTAAACCCTCCTAAATTAAAGATGCAGGTGAAACTGATGCATTGATAAGCGTATTAGTCTCTTAATGCTCATCTCTTAATGAAGATAGCATATGGGTATTTGTTTAATGCATTTTTTACTCAAACCGCTTCACAAATATAGATACAGTAAAGTTACGTGTGACGGGAAACATCACATGGATCCCAGACGAACCGCATTAGAATGTATTGACGGTAACCATAATTACAGGTGTGCATTTGATACAAGCAGCTGCATGTAACAGATGGACGGAATCCCTTCATTTACACCCATTGGGTGGGAATATACTGATTTCAAACCGGTTTATTGTGAGCGGATATATCTGAATCAAAATAATGATGACCCTTTAAAGTTCATTTAAGACATATAATAATATGTTTTAGAAAATATTAAAGCAACAACAGTAGGGTACTTTAGTATATACTATACTTTGTATATTATGCCCCCGCCTCTAGATATACATGTACACATTTTGTATCTTCAGTAGAGCACGCTTCAGACAACAAATTTCCAACCTCCATTACCACACATTCTACCACGTGCACGTGTACTCAAACCTTATCTTTACCTCTGTATAGAAAAACATCTTTTAAACCCCCATATCCAACCGTGCAAATATCTTTTTGTCTGAAAAATATCACAGGTTTCAACTGCAGTTGATTGAAATATGCCGGTTGGCTCCCAGACCTCCTGATGGTCAAGTAATCTGAACAAATATTGTGTTTCACGGTTGGAAAACAAATCTCAGAGACGTATTTGTATCCAAATCAAACCGTCTGATACTGGAAGCTTCTTTTTTGAATTAGACAAGATTAAAAGTATTCGGCAGACTTATACGCGTGTGTCCATGCACGACCTCTGGTCTGCTGTAACTATACGTAGGTGTTTGTTAATACCAATACGTTAAGAGGTGTGTTGAGGTTACACTGTGATATCAGGGGCTTCTAAAATAGTAAACAAATTTAAAGTATTGGTAATACAATAATTTTGTAACCGACCACTAACGCACCCTGTGGCCAGAGAGTACGTTGAGATCCTTATTGACAACCATAGATGGTTTCTCTGTAAATGTGACGATTTGTGAGGATGTTATCTGTGATTGCCAATTTGACCTTAATGGTTACGTTAAAGTTCACAAACCCACAGATAGCAAAAAAATACGACCACGAAGCGCCCAAGAAGATACACAACCACACATGTAGGCAGGCAAGGAGAAAATCAATCAAACAAACAAAAACAGACAGAAAGACAAACAAACTAAAATTACACCTCTGTGTAACTAAATTTACTCCTGAAACAGCCCATCCTCTTTCCAAAGATGGAAAAACGAAAATCAACTTGTTGATATCGTAGGCCTATATTAAAACACACAATCCCACAAGCTGAAATGATCAGACATTGATGTACATGTACGAAAAATGGCAGTTGCCATCTTTTTATTCGCTATCTTGTATCTGTGTAGAAAAACGGAATAGAATGATTTATCGTATTTATATACATTGTACACCACAAAAATAATGGTTTCGTGAACAGTCAATAAATTGCCCTACATTGTGCAAATATATTTCCATAATCTAAAAAAATGTTGTCAGGTAAAAAGAAATGACTTAAAAATGCCTAGGAAACTTAACACAGATACGAACTGCAGTCGGATTTACTGCTGAGTGAACTATTTGCTGGCTGACGAAGGTTATCATTCTTTCATTCATGATCATTTATTCACGGAATAAACTTTCTAAAGCGTTTGGCTCTTGTGAGGACTTCTAATTAAGTGATGGCAGATCCCCGCCCGTATGCAACTGGTGCCAAGCGCTCAGAGAAAGATTTTTGTGCGCTGGGTGATTTGGTCACTGGTTGCCGGATTTCTTGTCACTTTGAATGTTTACGAGATTTGCCTCAAATGACTTGTTATTAAGGACAATGAATACAAAATCGATTGGATCGCTGTCTTTTCAGTAAATCGGCTTTTAAACTGCCGTGCCATTCATCTGCTTTTAAAATTACGGAGTTCAAATGCTGAGGTTTAACGTTTAAAAGGGGGGTGCTCTTCATAGCGGCAATCGATTAAGTCTGAAACTTAATGCAATCTCTGCTGTTATCACATCTGTAAAAAGTTTCTAGCCTCAAGGTGTTTCCGTAATACACAGGTGTTTTATTCTACCTGGTGTTGGGATAAAGAATTTCCAATATTACCAATAGACCTACCGTCTTGCAACATAATAGGGTATAAGTACAAACAAGACACGTGTGGGATCAGATGAAGCGTTGTTTGAATGTTGTGAGGCTTTGGGCCCAGCGTAGCCACAGCATTTGGAAGTGTTAAGATGGCTTTGTTCTTGGACGGGCAAAAAGTGATGGTGATTAACACACGAACGATCAATTTCGAATCCTTATTCCTGTACATCTTTTCTTGATAAAAGAGTCGTACTGTTAATTTTTCGTATTTCTGATGATATTTTGTTGTTTGTGTAGGCTTGAGTTTGGTATCTGTTGTACAATATAACACGTTCGTATAGCATAATGTAATTGAAAAGGAAATAAGTTCTAAATGGAAACGTCATTTTTTTTCTACCTGCTGTCTTTTTTTAAGACTTAAGCTTTATTTGTTTTGAATTTTTTGGGGTGATATGGAGTATGTTGTTGTTTATGTTCATCTGATCTGACTGTGATTCCTCAACAATATGAATTCCATTTTAATGGTATGTTATGTAAAATATATCCTCATGAAGTTTGCAGACGATCCATATGGGAGCTTTCATTTATCCCAGTGTTTCACCATCATGTTTCAACGAGCATTTATAAGTTTTATCAGAATATACAGCCCCGATTTGACATGCTAATCCTACGAAATATATCCCTACCAATCCCGTCCAATTTTTATTGAAATTAGAAGGCAAAATGTAATAATGGATATAGCCTCCACACAAAATGTATAATTATTGCAACTGCACGTGGCTGTTTTGGGAATATCTTCAAATTGAAAACCCCAAACACATCAATGTCGTTATTTGCTGTTACATTTGCTGTATCCAACATATAGGCCCCTATAACAACCATATCCGATCTTCATAAGAGAAACAAGTCATAATGAATCTTACATTTCTTAAATTAAGTTTAGGCGAATATTTGGCATTGATGCAGTACTCTTAAAACATTACAATCTTCACATCTGGGTAATACCAGGCTCTTCATTCAATTATACATACTATGTTTTTAAACCATTAACCCGGAGAGGGTTATACAATGCTGCAATTAACACTGGGTGTGCGTATCCCCAAAGGTATTTTTCTAGTTCGAAGAGAGAATCTCACTTGTCCAGTCGACACGTGCGCAGTGGCGGTCAGTCTGCGGACAGCCAATTAAGCATTGACTTTTAATCAAGCTGCTGTCTTGCTGTGGGCCACGGTGAATTTTTGATTAAGCACCAGTAATTATGACCAAAGATGTCCAGTTAGTTGACCTCCAGATAATATAATAGATTAAACAGGTGCTTATGGAAGTCTTACTTAAGGGGCTAAAAAAAAAGAAAAAAAAAAACTAGGCACGGGGGGAGGGGGGTAATTTTCTTTGTTAAAGGGCGTATTCCTTTTTCTTTATTTTTTGACATTGTTTAACACATTTGTTATACTCAGGGCGTCTGCAGGAGAAGTTCCTCGGGCGGCATGGGTTTTATCATAAAGACTGATTTGATCTTCAACGGCTACAGACTTAACAACAATAAAGTACTGATTTATTTAATCCCATTGTTTCATTACGTACTTTAAGGCACGTACATAAATGATGCTCTATCCGGTGGAAAAAAAACATTGCATGATACCTAGTATAGCCAGAGTTACGTTTGCTTGATGTATCTATGGGTGCTTTCCCAGAAATTTTGATCGATCTAAGGATTAAGTTTTAGATCGACCTAACTCCCTGGGGGTTCAGGCTAAATTGCAGTTAGCCGAGCGGACACCATAGTTAATTACCACCTTACAGCTTTTAGTAGGCGGGACAGACGCTTAAGCCGGCCAAGCTGACAGTAATCTAGTGAGACTCCCCACAGGGATAGATCGATCTAAAAATCTATGGAAATGGGGTGTAAGTACCTAAAATGGAATAGTAGCTGCCTAACCTGTCAACATGGCGTGAAACATTAACAGAAATCAAAGAAATTGAAGTCCGGGGTCCCATTTAATTGGTTCAGGTTAGGGAGTAGCCAAAACACTCCTGTCACACTGTCCCTTAGACTGGTTCAGTTCTAAATGACGTCACAACACTCTCTTTTTGTATTTCAGCATGTTACCAGATCGGCCGTGGCGTGGCAAGTGTCATGGGACCCGACGACCCCTACCTCTCCTCTCACGTCAGCTCCATCTGCAACGCCTTAGACATCCCGCACTTCGAGATCGGACCCAATGTATTTCAGCAAAACCGTGTCCCATCTTCGATAAATATCCACCCTGACCTCTCTGTACTGAACAGTTTGTACCATGATATCCTTGAGTACTATCAGTGGAAAGATTTTGTTATACTTTACGGTGATCACGAAAGTAAGTGTTTTTTATTTTATTTTATTTTATTTATTTATTTATTTATTTATTTATTTATTGTAAGGGTGCATATCTATATACAGTGTATATAATGTTACAACATCACAAACGCTGATCAGGTGTTTTATCTTTCATTGAATATTTAAAATTGGAAGGCTTTCATTAAGGAAAATTAATCGTGTTCTTGATGTATTGAAGCAGTTAAGCAATTTTTCAGATTTGGAGGAACCATATTTTCACTCAGTTTGGTATATGTTACCATCCTTACCATGTTTGCTGCTCCCCTTCTATTATTACCGGGCTATGACACCAGAAGATGAGAAATATGCGATTTCGTTTATACACATTTGGCATTCGCGTGTTTGATTTGATTGGAATCAAATTGAAACAAACCCGAAAGGTTCCAGAGACATGCATCGTGCCTTTGCCACGCCTTGTAAAAGAATACTTAATACTTATAATATTTTCCGACCTCCCATGGCCTTCTGCTTCTTTACATCTTTTCAATACGCTTGTATCTGTGTTTAATGAAGCGCTAGGCACAGGGAGTATACTGCATGTGTTTTATTGTTGCAGGGTTATTATTACTACAATCAATTTATGGAACTAATTTACTGCGAAGACCAAGTATCATCTTACGCCACGCAACAAGGTCCAATATGAGAGAAATTGTGAAGTCACTGAAAAACCCAGACAGAAAAGAGCACAAGCATGTGTTTGTTGATCTAGATGTTGAAACCACGCAAATGATGCTTAGATACGTAAGCAGCAGTAATTCTAGCCGAAAATCTCAGTCAGTATACAAGTCGATGAATTTGCCCTTAGAACGCCATTATTTCCTGGTACATTGTACTTACCAACAAATTCTTCATTGACCTGAAAGCCAAAGTTTTGTATGTAATACATTGAAGGGCCGCGTGCACTTTTTCTTTAATTGGCTTGACTCTTAACATGACTCTCGGGAAAATATGATTTAGCTCAAGAAGTAATTGAATTACAAAATGAATCGTGCAACAGACCTTTGAGACATTAGAGGAGGTGGTTTTGAATGAAAAATCGTTGATTTAAGACAGCAAAAGAAATGATCATTTAATACAGTTGATTTCAAAATTACATTTGTAGTTTTTATCATAGTTCGAACTTAATATTTTAAAGTCCGTATGATGTCTTTACACGTTTCTCGTTCTCTATGTACCATAAAAAATCTTTTAATGATCCAATTTATGTTGATATTATTTTTCTAGTTGTCGATCATATTTTTAATGTACGACAGACGAATGCCAGAGATCTCTGAACTGTGTACGTTTTGACAGTACATCGTTTTATTTTTTAAGATTGTAATTATTTCTTAAGTTTTTCTGTAGAAAATATTCACCACGTGTGTGGTCATGCCAGTAAATCTTTCCTTGCTAATTTTCAGGCATTACAAGAAGGTATAATAGACGGACTGCATCATTTTATCCTTGCAAACCCGGTAAGTAAATACATTACCTACATTTTTTCACTAGTGGGCACTTTGTGCATTTGCCAATCTTAACATTACTATAACTGGATCAGATGATGAAACAACAATTGCGTTAAGTTGATAAGGAGATAAAAACAAAATTTTTGTTCCTTCCTTCGGTCGAGAAAAAAATCGGAAATAAAATTTAGGAGAAAGATAATGTACATATATTCATGTAGCCATCATTTTACAAGCATCATCAAAAGCGTCAACCGAAATTAAAAATCTGTTTATTTTTTGGATTGCCATATGCACCCGTGAACAACCAAAAGCCATCCTGCTTACTATACTGCATGGTTGAAACCGTAAGTTAATTTTTCTTTAAGGACACAGAAGCAATTCCAATGGACGATTACAAGCACAATCATCTTAATTTGACCGTAATAAGACTGGTGAAGAAGGGGAACGCGTCAGTACAGGAAGTATTGAAGGATATGCGAAGTTGGGAGAGGAAAACTAATAAAACCGTGTTAAATGGGAGCAATTTTATAAAGGTTAGTGCCCGATGGTGGTAATCAATGGTAGATTCTACAGTTCTACTTGTAAAAGCACTGTTCCGCATTATCGTGCTGTGTCATATTTTCTAACTTACCAGATCCGTAGTCCTATTGATACTGTGGCAATTCTTGTAAGGTCAGTGACTTAAGGGTTCAGTTGTCTTAATGATGCACCTACTGCTATCTTTCAGCAACATTTGAAAGGTCATTGACTTTAGAGAGCATTGACTGCAGAATAGGCCTACTTGTTATCGTCCCGTGTTGCAGGGATTTCATACCTTATGAATGCACCGGGTGCCTCCGAAGTACAATACATATAACATACTTATAAACGTAGCGCGGGGGATTGCGCACTTAGTCGGTCAACGAATTCACCTAACGGTTTTTGTCTGCTTGATTTCCATTTTACATACATGGATCAATTGAACGGGCGGCACTGTAACGTTAAACTTTGGCCGACGATGTCATGCTAAAGCCTTGTTTTGCATGCATTGAAGCTTTCCGTTTAGCCGGTTACACAAAACCACTTAAATAAAAAAAAAATGTTTTTTTTTTTCAGCTGGCCTTTAGATTAACTTAATTAAAAGAACGATTAGATGAAGATTTAATGAGTTAATGGAATTTTAGTGCTTTTTCAATTGCGAATTGAGCTGGTGGCATTTTAAGATGTTTTCATATCGATTTTAAACGCCTAGAGTTTCGTAGTTTACCCAACATGCTTTTATCATAACTGTTTCACTAGAGATTAACCAGTGATGGTTAAAAAAGAGAGTCATCGATAAACTGTAAAATGTTTTCAACGGGTTTTGCTTAAAGATGCATACAAAGTCAAATTTTGCCACAAAAACCGACCAAATGCCAGCATATAGTTTCCAAGTAGTATAATTAAGAGAATTACCAAAAGGTATTGTTTATTTTTACCCGAAAATGATGTTTAAACGGATTTTTCGGCTAGCATTCTATGCTGTATGTCAATGGGGCAGAAAAGTAGGTCACGAAAGTAGGTTAAATTTCCGACCAAAAATTCAAAGAAAGGAGCAGTCTAAAGCTCTTTTATGGCTGATCGAGTGATCTATTCAGTTTATCCCTTGGCATGTCGAATTTATTTGAGTCGTATAAGAAACTAGTAGAAGTGGTTTAGATGAATTACTGGAAATCCGCTCTCTACCGATGCTCGGTTCGTATGTATCTTTAAAGGAAGTTAATCATACTAAATTATTTTTCTTCAGACTAGAGTTGCATTGACGTACGATGCCGGATTGCTGTTTGCGAATGCACTGGAAGCTTTAAACAAAAGTGCCTCGATTTACATGGGAAACCTTTCTTGCAGTGACACGAAAACGTGGGCACTGGGGAGCAGTCTGTATAACTATATTAATAGGGTGAGTGCTTCAGAATTCAAGCATACATTTTAAGCGCACTTTGTCCTTTTTGAACTTGAAGAAAAAATTCATACATTAACAAAGAATAGTGGCATTTTTGTGCCGCAAATGCTGAATAGCTCACCAAATTTTTATTTTTTGCTAGAACAGATAAAACCAAGCACAGTAGTTGTCATGGAATTGTCATATATCAAAATTGCAGATTTTGATGCTTTGGTATAAACAAGATGCAATGTAGGATGATAATTACGATATTGAAGAAAATCAATTAGTCATTCACCGAACCTAAAAGACCGTCACTAATTGTGTACGTGCAAAAAATATTCAACAAACCATACTTTATGAATACGATCTAGAATTGACTTTTTTATACTAAACTTGAATATGTCTTGAACGATCAGTAGGCCTTACATGTTGGCCTAGCACGAAATGTTTAAATGTTACATTCCCAATGAAGCGATTATAAAATTTAAAAATCGTAATCATTCCATGAAATGGTAAATCATTCAGGTTCAAGGGGTTGAAGGATTGACAGGCTCTATCCGCATAGACAATGGTTTACGTGTATCCAATGTGGAGTTTGACATATTGAAACTGACGGATACAGATGAAGCGCTCCAGAAGGTATTTTAGTATCTCTAAGTGGTAAAATGAAAAAAGTTTTAGTTGAGGAGTATATATATATATTTAAACTTTGAATACATATTACGCGCTGTGTCCTCTTTAAAGTTATATTTAAGAAACCGTTCAAGGAAGGAGTTGTCTACAATGTATGGGAAATACGTGAATACTGCTAAATGTCGATAAAATTTAAACTGTGAGAAGCAACTTGAACTCCATAACACAACAGCAGTTGAAATTATTATAGTGTAGGCAATATACCCTTTCCAGGTCGGTACATGGTCGACAGAGAAAGGACTGAATATCACGGAGCCACCGACATTAAAAGTCCGCCATTTTGCCAACCAAACGCTTTTGATAACATCGAGATTGGTATGCTACACTGATTTTTCTGTTTATTGATATATCTACCAAAATCATCAAATGTATCGTACCCGCTACACCCTCCTGTAAATATGTTGTCTGCAATTTTATACTTCTCGCCTACTACGCAAATTCGATTTCCGCCAAGTATCCCTGTGAATCCTTATTTCTTTTAAAACCTCAGTTATCCACCCAGTAAACCTCGAAGGCATATGAGGTTCTTGTAAAAAACACCTCGAGTATTATTTATTCTGAATTAACAGGACAAAATCTTTTAAAATGTTTATATTTCTCAAAACTTGGTACCATAGCAACGCATTTAAAGGTACTTTTACACAGTAGTAATTTGATAATCTTAGATAATTGCAAGAATCGCATATATGCACTTTGTTATATGGAAGCATGTTTTCTACAGTTAAAAGCGCATTAGTGCCATGTTTGAAATAACGGCGATCCAAGGCAGAGGGATTTGTTTCACAAAACCCTTTCGAAAATTTCAAAAAATTCTACTTTGAACAAAAATTAATGTACCACGATGGTACCGATACAAAGTTAAAGAAGCTGAAATTAATTACTTATTTCTAGTGGATACTTTTTGTGAAACAGCTGCTGTTAATTCATAGCATTTGGAATTTCTTCGAGGAGACTGGGCATTGGGTCGCCAGTGACCAACGGTCCGAGAACGATTGTCTTGCTCACACTCCTCGAGAATGGTTAACGTAGACTAAAGCCGTAGTTAAGAAATTAACTCATAGCTTTATTTTGTGCTCAGAATAAATTTCTGAAGGAATAAGATAAGGGGTGTTCGATATAATTGATCGAGAGTGACCTTTGAATAAAGATGAAATAACGCAGGAACGCCAAATGTCATTTGTGTCAGTGGCTATGTATAATGGGATATAGGCCCGGAACTAAGCGCCATCTGACAGTCAATATTGCTCCTCGATTTGAACAATGATACTTTTAAATTCTCCTAATCTATCTTTGAACATTCATTTTGTATATATAGATTTACTTAATGTGAAGGAGTTTTCAATGTTTCTTATAGATTGTCTTTTCAAATATTACTTATAAAATTTATTCTGAGCATATTCTAAAAGCTAAATGGCACATAAGAACGTGTATATCAGCATATCCATTTACATGTATGTAGTAGTATGCGGCGAATTTGAATAATTTTGGATTCATCCATCAGTTTTGGCACTGCTTTTCGTATACTTTTCTAACATCATATCCATTTATTACACCACTTCGTTTCTGATACAAAAACCCTTTTTAAGAACAAAAATATTCATGCATGCTTGAATCACAGCTTTACGGCTTTTGAGATATCAAAGTGCGCAATTTTACGCGTGCAATAATCTCTGTTTTACAGCATCGCGTCCTGATTGTGACTACAATGTTGGTAGGTTGGACAGACATTCTAAGTAGAAGACATTGTTTGTGTTTTTAAAGATGTACTCTCCTCTTTTTTGGTGTTTTTCATCTTTGGAAAGACATTTGCATCCCTGAATTTGTAAATGATAAAACTACTATGTATCTTTATTTACTTACAAAGTACTTCGTGTCTGCGATGGATTTTATATACAATAATGCCAATGAAGCTCGCGGTGCCTATCTTCGACAGATTAAAGGCATTTTCAGGTATTATGTCTGAGCGTTACAGCTGTAGCATTTTGTTATGAGAGATTCAGCAGACTTTATTCCCTTCCTCTATTCTCTATTTGTTCACTTTCTGCTGCTTAGTAAGTTGATAAATTTGCCGTGTCGAGTGCAGGAGCTCTATATAGAGGCCTCTCTTAGACCCCATTTCCATAGATTTTAGATCGATCTATCCCTGTGGGGAGTCTCACTAGATTACTGTCAGCTTAGCCGGCTTAAGCGTCTGTCCCGCCTACTGAAAGCTGTAAGGGGGTAATTAACTATGGTGCGCGCTCGGCTGACTGCAATTTAGCGTGAACCCCCAGGGAGTTTGGTCGATCTAAATCTTAATCCCTGGATCGATCTAAATCTCTGGGAATACACCCTTACGTAAAAGCAAAATCATTACCTCTGTATCGCTGAGACACAACGCTCAAAAAGGCCTTTAGTTAAAAAATTTAGTCGGATTGGGTAATAATAGTGGAAAAGTTAATTGAGACGCTATTCGTGAAGCACGTGCTAATTAGGCCGAATTTCAAGTATACTTCTGACGGCTTAATTAAAAGCTATCTTGGCCGACCCTGTTACTGCAATTTCTAAGAATGGGAAGCCATTTTAACGGCACTCAGTTGACTTCAATTTCAGCGGCAATGAGCTGGAAAGCAGCTAGGACTAGCTGGCTTACAACATAAATCATAATGGCAATCTCTGCTGGAACAGTGCATACATGTTCTTCTGTTTCAATGGGATTGTAAATAAACACGTAATGCCAAACTAGCAAAATAAAAGTTTGACCTAATTCTAGCAACGCGTTAGATCAATTATTCCCTTTTGTGTTCATTTTTAATGCAGACTTTTTCTCATTCATAGAATATTAACCATAAAACATCTAAACACTTTAAAGGGATGCAGGTGTTTTGTGTATATTTGATATATCTTTCACTTTATATATATATATTTATATTCATATGCATATGTATTTCCGCCACAACGTACCCAAGATTAATTGTCATCTCTGACTTCCCTTGTCTGTGCGTATTTGAGGATTGATGTGAAGAGTGGGCGTTCATTGTGCAATGCACTGTTTATGTTTATACTGTAGTGTTTGTAATAAATATTTGATTCCGACTTCCAAATGGAACAATGGCGACTTTATATAGACGTGGCGTGATTTTTGCATTTTAGAATAAGGAAAGAACAGTTATTGATTTAGTCGTACTACATGTAGTATAAACATATTTTACCATTGCCTTTTGAGATTTGACACCAGTCGGATAATATGGATCGAAAACAAACTACCCTACCGACAGGTTCTGTTGTAATTTTGAAAAGTCTCGACTTAACCAGCTGGTGATCAACTGTAAATGCAAATTACATGAAATGCCCAGAGATTGTGGGGTTTTTTGAAAGATGTGCTCAGTACAGTTGTGCAGAAATATAAGCATGCAGTGTTGCCTGCGCAGGGTTTGCTTTGAGCATGATTGTATAATGCACGACATAGATTGTGCTTCAACTTAGCATTGTTTCAGGTGGTCTGTGCATGCGCAATGGTTGAGCTTTCATTACTAATTAAGAATTTGATCTTCGCCTTGACGTAGGGTATCTTTTTACTGACTTTATCTTATTGTTCAGAGTAGATAGTTCATTTCCATTGATATTATACATAAATTTTATCTAGTATGGAGGAAACCCTGTTATCTCGAAATCATCAGAAACACGAACAGCATTGCTTCTCGCAAATCCAGGCAAACCACCGTCCTATTTCACCTCGTGTTAGCAATGCTTGTGCGCTTATTCCACCTGTACAAGCCGATAGTACCTCTGATGAATGATTGAGGAGGGAGGACTATTTATACGCGTCGCTGATGCCACAATTAATCAAATGAAATCGTATTTCTCGTATTTAATTCTAATCGATATCAACGTAGCTATTTTTATCATTTCCTTGCTACATAGTGTTAGTTGCTGAAAAGCGAAGTGCATGCAATAGAGAATACAATTTGCATGACCGGTATGACCGTCTTTGAATGCTGAGATAGGCATAATTCAAAGAAAAAAAATCTGAATGTACACAATTATACAGCATTAGCTGTAGTATATTATGGTCGAAAACGGGAACCTTTTTTCAATTTTGTAGATACTCCAGTACACACAAAGCATAACCGTGCTTTTTTCGATGAATTGTATGACAAAGTATATGATAATGTATTGAAAAAAAAAGAGGAAAAAAGAAATCGACGTTTTATTTTATATACTATTCAACTAAACTCTAATACAAGCACAGTAGCGTGAACTGTTTCTTTTCAGGAGAAGCCGTACGTTCAGCTGAAAAAGCAAGATTCCACGAAACCAGCCCTGGAGGGAAATGACCGTTACGAAGGTTTCTGTATCGACTTGCTCTCCGAAATCTCCAAGATCGTCGGGTTCGAGTACGAGATTGAGCTTGTTCCGGATGGGCAGTATGGGATTGTGAATGATAAGGGAGAGTGGACCGGAATGGTCAGAGAGTTGATAGATGGCGTAAGTGGCTTAAATTGCACTGAAATTTTCGCTTTTTACTGGGTCTCTTTGCAAAAGATTGTACTGCTTGTGCCTTCCCGTGCCCTGCTCCCAAGACCACAAGATGAAAAAAATCATCCAATGGGGGTATACTTTACGTCTATTTACATCATATAACTGCATAAAAGCGCCCAGTACAAAAGGTGGCTACCGTTTGCACCTCGTAAACCTGACAACCTACAGCTTACTTGAAGTCAACTATATCGGCTACGTCGATGAAGGACCGTCACAATACCAATTTCAGTGATTTCTTCCTTTGTCTAGAACAACATTCAAAGTGTTTTCCATTAAAAAAAATCTTAACTGCCAACATGGTTGGGCTCTTGCGTTGTTCGGGAATTTCAACGCACATAAAACGTTTTGGTTTTGGTGACATTTGACAGGTGAGCATCCCTCCCACCCCCACCCCCCACCTCAGACAAACAGATTCGGTCAAGCACCTGTAACTCATCATCGATAATTTATGCGATTGACGCAAGCGTTGACCTTTTTGCGTCTGTAACATAATTTTCCAGTTGTAACCGTAAGCTTTACCTTGTTTCATTTATCGGAAAATCTCGCCATCATCAGCCTCTTTGCATAATCGCTAATTTCGAGTTCTTTTTTTTTTCAACTGTATAGTTTAGATTTCTTAAAGGGTGTATTAAAGTCCCAAATGGTTATCACTTAAAAACTCGGTCCCTTGCCTTCGAATTAGCCAGATCGAGAAGAATGAAAGGGATGCATGCTTTCTTTTTACTTGCATTTTTGGTCCATATTAAAACATGGAGTAACTTCATTGCGTTTAAAATCACATAACAGTACTACTAATAATATACGTTAACTAAATATTCTTTTTTCTTTCTTTTTCTAGAGGGCCGACCTGGCAGTAGCAGCCCTTACTATAAGCTATCTACGAGAACGTTCCATTGACTTCACTAAACCTTTCCTTAACTTGGGAATTAGCATCCTGTTCAAAGTTCCGAAAGGAGAAACGCCGGGGATCTTCTCCTTCCTTAATCCCCTGGCCGTGGAAATTTGGATCTATATAGTGCTGGCCTATCTGGCAGTGAGCTTCACTATGTTCATTTTGGCACGGTTCAGCCCGTATGAATGGTACAATCCCCACCCCTGCAACCCCCAGACCGATGAGGTGAGGAATGTCTTCAACCTTTCCAACAGTTGCTGGTTTACTGTTGGGACTCTTATGCAACAAGGGTCGGACATCAACCCCCGTGCGGTGTCCACGCGGATCGTCGGTGGGATTTGGTGGTTTTTCACGCTCATAATCATTTCTTCCTATACTGCTAATTTGGCTGCCTTTTTAACTGTTGAAAGGATGGTGTCGCCTATTGAAAGTGCCGAGGACCTCTCGAAACAGACAGACATCGAGTATGGGACTCTAGAAGGGGGCTCAACGATGACATTTTTCAGGGTAGGTGGTCACGAGTTGATCTAACCTTGGGGCCTAGCTGACCCCTCCCTCCGAAAAAGCCCGAAAATTGGTGTAAATGTTAAGACCAGCATTGCAACCTATTTTACTAAAGCTAAGCAAGTACATGTACATGCAGTAATTCAGTTGAATGAAATATTGCAGGTGTTTTATAACAAATATTGCAAATGTTTCAGACCAGTGCCTACTCTATTTAAGTGCAATACTAGAAATGTCTTGAAATGAAGAAAACTAATTATTTCGAACGCAGTCGAGAATCGAAGTGACGTAAATGTAATTTAAGACCCCCTCATAAAAACGCATTTATTTTGAACTATATTATTAGCATAGGAGTATAGTTTTTTTTTTTTTTTTTTGTATCTACACGAAAAAATATATTCACATTAAAGAGTAATATTTAAAAAAGCTTCGTTTTATCTGGGTTGTATTATAATTTTCCCTCTTTCATATCCTATTTCTAGAATCATTATTCAACACAACTTCTTAACCAACAGCTTTCAAAACTGAGATTTCATTTCATATCTGTTTCACTTTTAACCTGGACCTGTGATTCACATAGGAATCTAAAATCCCCACGTATCAGAGAATGTGGGCCTTTATGGAAAGCCGCACCCCCAATGTATTCACCCGCACCACGGAGGACGGGATAGAGAGAGTGAAGCACTCGAATTATGCATACCTCATGGAGTCCACCATGTTAGAATATGCCATCCACAGGGATTGTGAACTAATGCAAGTCGGGGGACTGCTGGACAGTAAAGGATATGGGATAGGGACCCCCATGGGTACGTACTGGCCCAAATAGGGTCCAAATGCCAAAGGTAGCGCATGAATTGCTTGAAAAATCCACGTGAATTTGCCACGTCAGGCAGTCCTCATTTCACCCGTCCAATGACCTTGAAGAAACTAGGCTGTTAACTTACCATATACACTGTATACGTTTGTATATCTGTAAATTATCCACTAATTCTACCAAGGTGATTTTTTGGTCTAGTAATGAGTACACTAATACTGTTTCCAGCCCAGCGCCCGGCCACAAACCTACTGAGTGGTTACCTCGGTTGACTCCTGTATTATCCTATTTCACATTACCTTCAAATCCAAGATATTTTACTCTTTCTCTCGCATGCTTTCTTATATGTATGTAAGTCAAAATTGCAAGAATTGATAATTGGAAGTCTCAGCAATAATCTGTAACGCAGAGATGAAAAAGTATTAAAGAAAGAAAGAAAAGAAAGAATTCTTTAAGAAAAACCTACACACTCAATGGTGAGATTAGTTTATTGACGTTAAATAATTATACGAACAAGGCATATTTTTCTGTTTCTGTTAGTCATTTTTCATGTTCTAGTAAAATTATATATCGTGATTAAATATTTCTTTTACATATTCCGCAACTTCTTCCCCATTGTTGTTTTTTAAACAGGCTCCCCTTACAGAGATCAAATTTCGATGGCTATTCTGGAGTTACAAGAAGGTGGAAGGATACAAATCCTATATAATAAATGGTGGAAAAACACTGGGACGTGCAATCGAGAAAATGCCAAAAAGCAAGATTCCAAGGCTAGTGCACTTGGTTTACAGAACATTGGAGGGGTATTTGTTGTCCTGCTTGCTGGGCTAGCACTCTCCGTGGTCATCGCCATATTAGAGTTTACATGGAATTCAAAGAAGAACGCACGTACAGATAAGGTATATGGTCCAATAACTGCTTTCACTTATTTTCTTAAAATAGACTGAATCTTTCATAACCCCCACTTACCATGCTTAGCGATGTTGCTCAATGATCCTTTCCTCGCTTGGCGTGTCCAAAACTCATACAAGGGCAGTTACCAAAGTACAGATAGGATATAGAGTCCAATAATTGTTTTTACTTATTTGCCTAAAATAAACTAAATCTTTCATAACTTCCTCTTACCATGGTTAGCGATGATGTTCAATGACCCTTTCCTCACTTGGCGTGTCCAAAACTCGTACAAGGAGTCACTTAAGCGACTCTAAGTTGTTTTTGTCGTTGTCAAAGGAGGATGTTTTGACAAGTCACGTCAGAACGTGTGTACATATGTCTGTTTTTATGCTGTGATCCGTTTACAAGGCAAAAATCGATTTTTCTTGTCTCAACGTTTTGAACAAAACGGTATATGTTTCAGGAAATTGCGTATTTTTGTGTGAAATATTTTCACTTTTCACGACAAATTTTCAACAAAATGGATTTTTCCTCATTTTTTCTTTCCCCTTCCACTGACCTTATTAAATATCTTATTTTTACTTTAAAATGTTTTTAAAAGTAAAACGAAAATGTATTTTCTTCTTTTAGTACATATAACTTTGTTTCGTTATTTTTATTTTTATGTGAGTTATACACAATAGGATTGCTATCTTTACTAGTGATTCTTCAAACAAAATAAGGCAAAACAAAATTAAACAAAATAATAATAATAATACTATAAATTATTAAAAACAAAAAATGATAATAACGTGTTTTTACTCCTCAGCAATCATTATGTTCGGAAATGGGCGAAGAACTGAGGTTTGCAGTGAACTGTTACGGATCTAACAAGAGGCCGGCCCTGAGAAGGACATGTTCTGTCTGCAAACTTGGCCACCCTACTGTTGCGCATACCCACTCGCCCAACGGCAACCATCGCGACCATCGAGATCACCGAGATCACAGGCGTAACTCGCATTTAAGTATAAGCTACACGGACGCGGACGCCAATGGTCACTTGCAAATGCGGGAAATTCGAGATGGGTATTTAGCGGTTCCGGACAGGGAAGGGTATTCTAGCGACACGAACCATGATTGTAGACGGCACGAGTTGACGTAGCTTTAACTTGAGATGCATTTGGTGTAGTCCTCTTCAGGATGGGTTGGTTGAACCACTTGGGTTACCATGTTACCATGCGTGGATGTGGTTGAGAGCACGTGGTTGCGGTTACTTACATGTACCTCTTCCAGTTACTACTTTTGAAAATTCCTCGACCCGCTGGGGCGTGGGATATGGATGGTTTCAATATGCCAGTAGTGTATCAAATAAAATCAATGGAGATACGTTTTGTTTAGCCATTGAAGGGTTACAAAGGCTGCTGAAAATCTGAGTTTTGAAAAATAATTCGATCGTGATTGCAGGGGGCAAGTCAGTCCGTTTTTATCTTTTTTTTTTAATTTGACTTGACAATAGTGTTAATTGAACACAGAGTCAGAAGTTGAAATGTTAACGTTAAATCAGTAATAATTTCCTTGCTTAGGACCGTTCATTTTTCAGTGTGTATTAAATGCTGATGTTTTTGTTTATTTCGTGTGATACAAATGTATAACAAGTGTTGTACAAAGACACATTATCTGTGTTTGAAAAGTTCGTTGAACAGATAAAAAAGATATGTAACAAATACTAGACAAGATTAAGAAGCATATCGTTTGTATGAATCTCATAAAAACACCCTGATTTTCTGAGGACAAGGCGCCTCTCTTCATGTACTATCAGCATGCCTCTGTGGGTCCCAGGATTTCTAAAATTCAGGGTGATAAAAAAGAAACAGAAGCTAGATTTCCGAGGAAGTTGCTTTCAATGATAAAAAGGGCTACGACATTTATTGTGCATGCTCTTGTTTTAAATGTAGATTTAGCGTCCAAAACTCAAAATCCCCTCTTGTTGGTTTTAAAGTGAAAATGTGTTAAGTCCTGAGTAACTCATTCCGGAAGTGGAAGAATGCAGTTATGGGCAACTGTAACTATAGTTACCAATCTACGAGAGCCCTTTATATATCTTAACCTGATTGTGCAGATTTTCCCTGATACAATTATGAAAATTTCTACATTTGGTGCAGAAAGTTTCTGGAGATTTAAATTATAATTTACCTGGAGATGAATAAAAAGAAAACCAAAATAAAAAAAAAGAAAAACTGTTTTTAAAATGTAATCAACGTTACTCTGTATGTTAAGCAATTTCAGTGAACAGAATGGATATATACCATTTTTTACAATTAGAGTCCACAATATTTTTCTTTTGTAAACGTACTTTAGTAGGTGTACATAAGCTGTCACTTTTAAACGTTGCAAGGAACCCTCTCTTTGACTAAGATATTTATTATGTATAGACCTTACTTGTTATGAGAGAGAATTGAAATATTTCTTTTTGCTTTTGATAGTTACTGACTTACAACTAACATTTCCTTTTCCTAAAACTTTCTTCTTTTATCTCTACCGTTTATGAATTTTTAGGAACAGCCATTGAAAAAAAGTTTCTTTTCTAAACATTTTAGTGCAAACAAATTTTTTTTCATTCTTCTAATGTCACTTTGTGAATCGGTATCAGTATTGTGCATCGGTGTAATGTAAGCTATTATGTACGTACATCGCCTGTTCCTTAGATCTTTTTTTATGTTTTTCATATTACGCTGATATAAGCCAATGATTTAAAAATCGTTTGTCCCTAATTTGATTTTCTTTGAATATATACATTGTATGTATGTCTTGAAGTTAAAGGAAGTCCTTACTTTTGTCAACAAAACCAGTCCTTTTGTAGATTTTCCAGATAGGGTCTTTATATTTGTTTCAATATGGCAATGATTAACTGTGAAATTTGATTAAATTTGTGGTGACAACATTGTTTTTTATTGCGTGATTAAGGTAGTGGATCTATTATAGAGTCACCCAGGGGCCTACTTTTCATATAATGGTCTGGCAGACAAGATAGCCATGTGATAATGCTGTTTGTTCCCTTTTAATATGTGTGTAACATTGTATATAAGGTGTCTGTCGGAGGCAGACATATCATTATATAAATAAAACAAATAGTTTCAAGCCTTTATCACTGATCTTTGTAGTTTTTGCTTCAAAAAAGGGCTTAGCAATTGTATTTATTGGGAGAGGGCTGATAGCGTTGTTGTAGTGTTCATAGAATAAATCACCATCAGTTATCATTTAGTTTTATCATGGACCTTTTTTGTGTGGTTACACTGCTTTTTCCACCGGGCAGTACGTAATATCCAATATAGAAAGGATATTCAGGTTCGTTTGGCCGAATTAAAAGATGGGTATGCATAAAATGCATTAAAAGATAAAAATGTGACAGTACTATACTGTGATTGTCCTATAGAAAGGATATTCAGGTTCGGTTGGGTGAACTAAAATATGGGTATGCATAAAAATGCATTAAAAGATTTAAAAAAAGTGACAGCACTATACTGTGATTGTCCTAAATAAAAGACCCGTCCTGTTATTTGGGGGGGTGGGGGGTGGGTGAAAAGCAGCCTTTGTCATCCTTGTCGTAAGGCTTTCTTTTTTGTGTGCTTATATTGCTTCAGTTTTTCTTTAATTAATGAAACCGAGCACAGAACCATGACAAATCTCACAGGCTCACATGATTGGAAAAATGATCGAAATTTGCTATAAACCGTCCCCACTACCCTCTGGGTGACGCAGTAGCAGCATTTTAGGGATTAAGCTGCCACTCCCGGGTTAAAACAAAATTTCTAGGATGCCTTCTTACTTTTTAAAATCTTCCTTAACAATCACTGAAAACCTTATATTTGTATATTAAATGGTTAGCAAATTGCGTTTGAAACCCATGGCAAACTTTTCAAAATAACAAAATTCCATAAAGGTCGCAAAGCCTTGCAGACTGAAAGGTGAGACTTCTATCTCAGCTTTCTTAGTTCGTATCATTAGTCTGCAAAGCAATTAAGAGTCTCTGTAATAAAATGTGATCGACCAGGTAGGAATAGTGCTCCTCTATTACTTTCTCAAAGGTGAAAATACAATATCGGGTGTAAACAGATCTATTTACAGCAAGCTTTAAACTCACTTGTGAATTAGCAATAAGTGAGTTTATTAATTGTAACGTATGCATCCGCTTGGGTGGATGAAAATAACAATATAAAGGTAATTTTAAATGAGTATGATATACCAGTTACAAGGTGTATTACTTCTACTAACTTAATAAAGACAGTTGTTTAAGCCAAGTTACTATTACTACTACTCAATTACCTATTGGTGCAGCACATATTTGTTTACAGCAAGCTCTAAACTCATCCGTGAATGTCTTCATTTGATTAAAAGTTTTCGCTTTCTTTGAGTTGATTGATTTTTAAAGTAGATAAACAAGCACAAAGGACGAGTTGAAACCCATAATCACAATCTTTGGCTTAAGCACCCTCCCCCTTACAGCCTATTATTACAGCATGCACAACAAAAAGGATTATCTTAAAGTGAATCACCAGATGTTTGAAGTAAACCTCTCATCTCTTTCACAAAGGGGAAAATACATTTTTTCCCAAACACGATAAATAATCAACAAAACAACAACCCCAAAAAACACAATATAACCAGAAACGAAGTGCTTTACTGTTTAAGTCTCAAGACATCAGCTTCCATACACAGCTTCGATTTCGCCACACCATAAGATTTCGTTTTGGTCATCTTTACCTTTCATCCGGGTTCTTATCACCCTTCGTTTGTTGTGTTGGCAGAAGGAATTTAGGGTTATAGCGGAGACAGAAAATTAGGTTTAAGCAGCCTCTGAAGCAGAAGTATTAAAAACTCAACATGATGCAAGCCAAATCCTAAATAGGGAAAAGTTCTGCAGAACTGCAATGAATCCGGACAATATACTATATCAAAGGAGAAAAAAATTAAGACCTAGTTTCTTCTTGATGCAGCATACCCCGATACCGTAAGAATCTGGATCCCGCGGCTACGGCTGATCCCCCACAATTTGGGAGTAGAAAAACCATTCTCTACTCCCTCCCTATGAAACATTTGTTAACGTAATATCCTAACTAATACAGCAATGCATAGTTGAGTATAATTTTTCATTAAAACTGCAATCAGTTGTTGTACATGTTAGATCTTGTGTTATGATTTGCAGCTTAGTGAGAATCAGCTGTACAGTCACGGTATTTTCAAAACCAATTTGATAATAACAACAAAATCACATAGATACGCAGTATTTTTCTTCTATAGTCATTATTTGAGTGCACATGTGCATGTATAATTTACTTGCCAAGATAAACTTGAGTTCAGTCGCTTTCTGGTACAATATTATTTTACCTTTTACCTTCTTTTTAATCGTTTGTCGTAATTTCTCTACAGATTTTTTAAATCTTAGAAGTATGTATATAAATTTCAATTACCAAGCCGAAGTCCATCCCTAATGGAATTTCATATTATTATTATTATTATTATTGGCAAAATGAATACATCAACTATTCCCGTAATCGTGCACTCCTTGTTGAATTTGTAATGATATTTTCATCTTTTTGAATGACGCAGAAGAAGCAAATTAACACCTTGGCAGGTTGTAACAAGAGCCCCTTAATAGCCGTGCAGGTTTGATATAAAAAGGCTTTAGTAAGCCATATTCCTTCAGTTCATAATTCCCAAGTTGCTGATCGTGCTTTTTTCATGATCACAATAAGCACAAACGTGTAACTTTATCCATGGATTGCTTTATTTAACCTGATAAGTTTGTGTGTTATTCTACTCAGTAGGTAGATTAACCTTCAACTGGCTAATATGAGCAACAGGGTCGTTGTAGGCAGTTACATGTAGTACCATATTGGTGTTGTATTTTATGTTTTAGGAATGTATGTATATATATATATATATATATACATAAATACATACATACATACATATATATTCATGGGCTACACAGGAGTACGTACGACCACCAATCGCAAGCATACGCGGTTCAAATGATAATGGTCATAGAAAAATATAAAGAAAAAAGTGTACTGCGGATCAATAGGTGAATGCTAAAAAATAAAGAAAGCATCAATGTTCTTTGTAGGCCTATATTAAATTCATCATAATATAAGTTCAGTTACAAACTGTTTTCAATTAATGTAGTCAGCAATAACAAGTGAGACTAGACTCCCTTTCAAGGATAACGTTGGAAAATGGTCTTTTATCGATTTTGTTTGTATATCTCACAAGAACTAAATACACCCACACACGAAAAAAAGAATGAATCACGCAACAGGTGACATGAATGTTATGAATTCAAATAGTATTTTCGTGTTCTCAAACACTTCATTTTTTTCCAATCTAAACCACAATATTTGAAGTTGAAAAGGAAACTTAAAATGAATATGATAAATGAAGAAGATCTAAAACTTCTACTGGAATTTTTTTTCTAGCATTACTTCTCTGCACTTGACAGGATAACCTGCGCTTAAAAAGAAACGACATGGTGTTGTAAATTTCTGGTATTTGATATAAGAATAAAGCCTAACACTGAATATAATGAAGGGGAGAAGTCGACGTTTACGTTAAAGGCTTTCTCTAAAGCGATACGAAATAATCGACCCAAATTAGTTTCTTAAAGACATAAATTATGATATTGAACAAAGCACCGTTAGTAGATGACACCTTTCTGCTAAGCGACAAGGGGTTCAGATTATAGCAGCAGTCGGGTAGAAAATCAATGAAAGCAATTAAATGGTAAGAGGAGAACGCAGTTCCGACCTTAGACAGTATTACTTTATAATGTTATAGTATTTTGAAAAACACCTTGTATTTGTAACAAAGTCTATGCGGTAATTACGCAAGATATTCGAACAGCATATATCAATTATCCTCCATATATTTTTTTGTTAAAAATAAAGATTCAGATTTTTTTGAAAAGGCATTTGGGTTCGTCTCCGAAAGTACATTTTTGTGCTTGTCCGAAATGTTCAACCCTTTAAAGAAAAATATTAGAAAAAGTGAGGCGTCTGAAAATTAATTACTATAAAAATATGCACTTGCTTGAAAAAAAATATTACTGACAGTATTGTTTCAGTTGATTGAATGGGTTTTATCTGAACAGAGGTGGACCGCTGTATGTATGGAGTTATCGACACTGATTGCCAAAATCCACACTGAGAACTAAGGAAGAAGGTTTGGATTTGCACTCGTTTTTTCAATACATCGTTAAACGCTATGGGCAGTCGTTATGCTTTCCCTTTTCCAAAAAGATAAATGGATAAAATAGAGTGAAAAAAGGAAAATACATATTTTGGCATAAACACCTTTGGTGCATAAAATACCGGTATTACGACGTGCTGTTAAAGATATAGCAGTGGCGCGTGGATTACAGCCTTGAAAAATAGGCTTATATCATAATTTGCAAGATTTCCAGATTATGTGGCTGATTATGTACCAAACAAAACATTGTAGTATAATGAGAACAGTTCGTTCATGGAACGCATAATATATAGAATGGCATGGAAACCAATCACCATTACCGTGATTTATATTAATATTGGAGACATGTTAACAGCGCGCAGCTGTCAATATATAAACGTACTTGATAAGCAGCGCCATAATTATGAGACAGCGCCGGGGATAGCATAAAGACAATCGCCAATGACAGTTCGTATTCACAACGCCACCTGCCTACATGAATACATCACGATGAACGTAGGCTTGTCAAAGGCCACCCAACTCTCAGACATTACCAACCTGTTTCAAAGATTAATGACTTCGCAGAGGTAGATTATTACTCGTGAAGGCTTCGGTTGTTGTGGACAATATAAATGCGTTTGTCAACGCTGTATTGTGGTGGCGCGACGCCAAGACATATTTTGAAGCAGATCGCAGGTAATCATGACAGTGCTTTCAAATATACCATCGTCACACGAGGGAGATCAGAACAATACGGTGATGCCTGAAGGTTCATATTTCCAAAATGTTACACAGGACGGACATGACCTCTGGTTATTCGTACAGAACACATCAGAAGAAAATGACCTCCTGTCGGAGGCTGAAAGCAATTTTTCAAGGACAGGTACAGCCATTATGGTGATACCAGACGAGGCATTTGGGGTGTGTTTATTTGTTCTTTCGGCGATTATTTTATTGTCTTTACTGGCTAATTTGTTTCTGATAGCTACCATTCGTTTCTCCCCAAGCTTGCGGACCCCGCCAAATGCTCATCTGGTGAATATTTGTGCAAATAACATGTTTCTAGGCCTTGCAATGATTGCCGGATTGATAACCCTTACGACCACAGGACCAAATGTTAAGCTTTACCGCACATTGGAATATATTCTGGATGGCTTACAGCTATTTTTGACCATCAACTGCTTTCTTCAATATTGGTCATGTTTTGCAAGCATTGCGTATTACAGAAACAGAACGATAAGGAAACCCACAATGTCCATTGCCTTTCGAAAGGTGGTAGTGAAACGTTCCATCTTGATTTCTTGGGTGGTTAGTGCTCTTTTGAGCCTAAGCTCTGTACTGGCCTTTAATGGTGAAGATATTGCCTTGGCTTTGAATCCGTTCAAACGGGTTTTTCCTGCAAAGCCTACGCCCTACAAGTCAGGGTTCCTGGACAGCGTCATTTTCAGTGCCATTTTGGTGACCTTCTTGGTTGGCATATTTGTAATGGTTAGGTGCTATTACCGTATATTTCGCACTTTGCAAATCGCAAAGCCTTTGAGCAACAACAAGGTTTCCCCTTGGAGACGCAATTCGTCAGGGTCCGACGCCACCTGCAATGGAAGCATTACTATGAAGGACCACCCCCAGCTTAACTCTTCTCCAAAGGTTTATTATGTAAGGTCCAGCAATTGGACACGGCCTTACGTAATTTCGAATGACCCCCTATGCCCCGCGGAAAATGACGACAGTTCGGTCATCGTGCATTTCGAAAAGAGGAACCACTCTTTTCCATTTGACGAGAGTTCCATCCTCGAGAATCCCATACGGGCTCTTGCAATGGATCCACCCAATGCTTCTCAAAAGAAACGGGAACTGAAATTCACAACGAGCAATGCCAGCAACGCGTCCATTAGATCTGGAACCTCTGCGGCGGGATTTACTGACATTTCTTTGGGAGCGGAATTGCACCGGTATCAGTGCATGAAAAACAAAGCCGCCCTTCGTAAGCAGTCTTTGCGCCGAGATACGAACAGTTTATATTTTGCCGCCAAGAACAGCATTGTTATGCTGTCTATGTTTGTTTTCTGTTCCTCCTCATTGTTTGTTTGTTCAATACCCGGTGTTTTAGATAATACCGAAATGGCCACAAGAGTTTATGTTACAATGGTTTGCAAATTGTTATTTTTTGTCAATGCCCCAGCATATCCAATTTGGTATCTCATATTCAGTAAAAGGGTCCGTAAATGTCTGAATAGACTTTTGGAAAACACAGCATGTTGTGTTCACGTAAGACAATATTAAAAGTTTTAGTACGTTAGTTATCCAAGATGTTGTGCAGATTACTTTCTTATAATACATTTATATACCTTCTTATATACAGTACACATGTATATATTATGTGGTTCTCATCTCTCGTTTCTTTTGCTATGTTTTATTTAATCGTTTTGATATTTGTGTTACAAGGTGCCTACGGTGTGTTAGTGATCTTGGACTTCAGTAATATCTTTACACATGTATATATTATTTGGTTCTCGTCTCTCGTTTCTTTTGCTCTGTTTTATTTAATCGTTTTGATATTTGCGTTACAAGGTGCCTACGGTGTTGTTAGTGATCTCGGACTTCAGTAGTATCTTTATGAAAGAGTAACGCGGGTTGGATTAAACAATGAAAACACCCAAATCCCTCACAGCTACACCTGGGTATACGTGAGAATTTTCTAACAATCCTATTATCACTTGGTGCCTAGGGATATTCAGGCAATAAATTGACTGCATATCGATATAATTCATTTATGACTTTTAAACTTTCCGATAACATTGCTTGTTGAGGAAAGGCACTTAAATATGTCAAGTTCATGTATCCTGATTATTATCTTTTTGCATAATAGAACTATTATTGGGTATCGTACAATAAAGTCTCTGTGATAATGTTGTTACAGTAAACAGTATTCTTATTTATTGCTTTCTTTTGTACTTATTAATTGCTTTCGTGGAAAAAAAGTTGTTAAACTATTTATCCCTGAGACGCACACGCATGTGGTTGTGGTATGAATATATTTTAAAACAGAGAAAGGGGAATTGGAGGGTCTGAAATTTGATATACATATACTTAGCCCTAGCCTAAAACCAGTCGTAGTGAACTTAACGTAGTTGGCCATCCATAACAGTCCAAGCTATACCCAAAGACTTGTGACAGCATGTCAGCAACTTTTGTTGAAACAACAACTACCGTAGTGATTCTTTAGGGTCAATTCATACACTTGATTGCAATAAAACTGACCACTTCCTAGAGTCAGTGTAAAAACGTTTTTTTTTTGGTTTAAGAGGCTCTAGATGGCTATCCTCCCACTTTTATCTGTTTTAATGCTTTGAAGTAAAAGAACCAATATGACATATTTACGGTTATTGTGTAAATTGCTCGATACCACAAGCAGTTAGACATCCTAAACATTTGCCCAAAGGTTAGTCGGTCTTTTTCTCTTTTTTTTTTCACAGATATTAATTTATTTTCGATATCGAGATATTTTATTATTTTTATTATCATTCGAAAATCGCCAGCTGATACCAAGAGAAAACACATCTTCAAATACACCTGTACAGCCATTGTCATGATATATGGCTTTCGTGCCAGGCAACTGGCATGTTTCCGGGAGCATGTTCGCAATATCCTATATTCCCAAAAATCGATATCGCTTGCGATAATTTTGCACTGTCAATATATTTTGTTAGTACAGCCTAAATGCTTACAAAATGAGTTTGATAAGCGAAGAAGAAATCTAACATTCTCATTGGAGAAATGCAGTGAGAAGGTTAAGTGGATATTCTGATTTCTAATCAATTAATCGGTAAACAACGTCGGGAAAATTTCCTTCTTACAATAAACAGCCAAGCTACAGCTGGATATTAGAGGTCAGGTTTTTGTAATTTGACTATCTCAGTTTATGTATGATCTTTCAGTACGGTCTTACAATGTAAGAAAGAGGGCGGAGGGGCAAATAGGGACATCTCTACATGTCTTAGGAGTAAACAGTCACGATCACGTACATAGATGTCACAAGATGAGAGCAAAAAATAAAGAACGGCATGCGGGCGGTGGATGCTTAATTCAGGCACCTGAAGGAAAATAATAATAATAGTAATTATTATTATTACTATTATTATTATTATTATTATTATTATAGACCACATTTCAATTAGAAAAAACACTCATGTCATACTTAACGATCAATTACTGCTCGGATTTTCTTATAAGTATCGTACGTAATGAATCCACATATTTGTTTTGCTGAAATTCCCATAGCCCTAACTCAAAGATCGTAGTGTTCCCACAGCATCAGTAAAGAACATAATATTTAGAATAAAATTTTATTGAACCGCAGTATCAAATGCGTCAGCGTGTACAGCCGAAAATGTGCATATATGCATACGAATCTACATGTACATAAGAATATGACAATGGGCTATATTACAAAACACTGAACTACAATGAAATAAGTACACAGTTAAGAAATATATCATGTAACCTTCGTTTTAAAGTAAATAAAATAAAGGAAATTATTATAGTAATTGAACACCTATCAGTTGAAACCTTTCTTTTATGAGAGCTTTTTTTTTTTTTTTGTAAAAGTTGTGATCGCTGTAATTATCCATGAGGCAACTGCCTTCTGTACTGAAAGAAAAGGGGAACAAAATATCGATATTATCGGCTAAACTAGTACATAATTTCTCCCTTGTTTTATCAAACCCAATACAAATCTGACGGATTTCGCCACTTCTTAAAACGCAATTGAACTATAGCCAAGGGTAAGCACATGTATTTATGGGAATAAAAATGCAGTCAATGTAATTGCCTCCTCTGTTTCGATAGCACGAAACATGTCGTGATATTTTTCAAACGAATAGGAAGTCGCCGCTGTTCCTGTTATCCCAGCCACCAGTTATTATTAATGCAATCAACGCTTTAACTCTAGGGTTACAGAAGAGTTGCAGAGCTTCGGGTGCAATCAAGCTTCGAAACACTGAAGCTGAAGTAAAGCTAGACTACACGCGTGTTTTGATGCGCCTTCTTCCACCAAAACCCCCTCAATATTGATAAAATTGGCCTTTATTTCTAAAAAACAACAGGGAAATTTACATCAATATTTATGAATAATGCCTTTTTATAACAGAAAGCACCCAGCGTAAACGCGAACAATTCCTCAAACGACAGGTTCCTTCAGATTTCTAAAACTGCCAGTTTGTATTGTGTCTCCAAAAGAGAGAATAACTCATATGAAAAGGGGAATGCATTGTAGGCAATAGTGAAGTAAAATACTTAAAACTGATATGGTTTTCTCTTTATCTGCTTAGTGATTTCAACGTGCTGCTTAACTTTCCATGTATTTTTCCTAAACGAGCTGGGCTTACATAATTTTTTTATCTTTTTGAATTACGTGTGACCGTTGTCAGCGTATCATCACTTTAAGAAAATCCTGTTGACCTAAATAGGCCTTAAGAAATCAATAAAATCCCTTTTTTTGCATTAAATAAATAAATAAATAAATAAATAAATAAATAAATAAATAAATAAATAAAACGCCAAACAATGAATCGATAAAAACTGGCTTCGTGTCTGAGTTCTGTGCAGTGTATTCATATAGATTCCCCTTGACTTCCTCTGGGTGATAGGTTTCCATTTGCATGATAAATTGGGTAAGATGAATATCTAAAATATCATGCCATTGTTGTTATTGCTTCTTCAAGTCTCCTCTAAATGACACTATCAAAATGATACCCTTATTTGTTGTAGACTTTGTCTTATATCTACGCAATTTATTTTCAAATGTGATGACTATTTCCAGTTATGTCAACGCTTAACATAAGATCTAATATACCATATCTAATATTCCGTTTATTAGATCTTAGGCTAAACCTTTCCAGGAACCGTGCAGACATACAGAGCAGCTGTTTGTCCTTGGATCTCGCGTGAACAGAGGTACTTGACGAGAGTTGCTAACATTCCAAACAACATGGCGGTGAGCGTAAGTGCACTGGTTCATTTAATGTTTATTGATGCTAGCAATATGTATTGCCAGTTAAGTGTGTATGTATCTGAAAACATACTTAAAGTTTTACTATAACATTCGATGGTTGTGCCTCACAAAAGGTAAATGTGCTCATTTTAGGAGCCGAAGTCCTGAAAGATTAGGCTAGTGAGAGGGGGGAGGGGGGGGGGGGGTAGAGTATACAGTTAGATAGGAAAAAGCACCACTTTTTGTGCTTTACTATACAATCTTTCTCTGCTGCCCAGGGGCTCAGAGGTGTATGGTTAAGATTTGACGGCTTCACCATTCCATACCTTAAACTGTTTCTGTTACAAGGACACCAAGTTTAGTACACGAATTGATATATACATTCTAGCAATTTTCTCTTTTCATAATTTTAAATAGATGAAAACGTAACAATGGTGATGATATTAAACTTACAATTATTCTTATGTCTTCCATTCTTAGATAATTTTATAAGAAAAAGAAAAAAACCCCCAAAGATGGCTCATCTGTTGGGCAGCAAATTTTGTATTGAAAGTCTCCGTAGTGATGTGACCGACCTCCAAGCTGCAGTGTCTGATGTCTTCTCAAGGACAGGGCCAACAAATAGCACCTCTTGGAAGTTTCCGGATAAAATTGGAAGTGAAATAGACATTGAGGATCTGCTGGAGACATATGATTATTCGGAAGATGAAGAAGAGAGACAAGTGTCACACATTAGCTTACTGGAGTTGGTGATTGACAGGTATTGTTTTATATTTTCATATGGTGATTTTGGAATATTCAAACTATTTGTGTGAAAGATAAGTTTGTTTGTATCTACCAATTAGATAATACTATGTGATGAAATGCAGTGCTTCTTCTGTATATCTGTTTACACACTCAATAATGAGAGATTTCCGCCCAAAAACTGGTATTCTTATGGTCAGGCTAATATGTCACACGTCTCAGCAACCAGCAAGTCCACTGGAAATGGGGTAAAACAACTTAAAAACATGGCAGATTGCATTGACTTCTTTGTTAAAGTTGCCAGATGATATCATACGCTGTATTGCAGTGTATTGCACATTTCAGTCACACCGCTCCCCACACGTCGGCCCTGCGGGGTACAGTAATTAAATCTCGGCTCCATTCGCCATGCGGAAGCTACCTGAGAAATATTAAGTGTGCATGCTCATCAGTTAAACTCGTGGTGAAGAAAGCATGGTGGCTGAAGGCGATCGAAGGAAAAAAGCTCTTCTGTTCAATTATCTTTCAAAACAGAGACGAAAAAGGAATGAATTGGCCGGTAGAGCAGCAATGAATCGACTATCTACGGAGATAATATCACCAGAGATATTCACGGAGATATTAATGTTCGGAGCCGAGATTTAATTACTGTACCCCACAGGGACGACGTGTGGGGAGGCGTGTGAGAGGCGGAGAGACTATTAAAAGATTAGCCGTTTTTCTTTCATGTACGTCCGCCATTTTTAGTTCTCAGGATTTGTAAAGCCTGGCTCAATAATTAACTGGTCAGTGTTAAATTGCTTATAATATTTAAAAGTCAGTAAACTAATATACTGGTTAGTGCTAAATGTCCTTTAAATATGAAACTGGGCCCTGGTTGGTTTCCTTTGACGGCCTGTGTAATTAGCTGCTGGACACCTGGTTAAAAGGTAAAACCGGCCTTAACTGCTTATTGTTATCTGCTAATGGGGATCTAACAGCAGTAGATTGCAAAGACTCATTTGCTTAACTGGATGTGCATAATATTCACATTTCCTTGAAGAGAAGGTCTTCAGGAAGTAATTGATTTTATCAAGGGAGGTGTCAATTGTACTGTTGACGTTGCATTGCTGATGAATGTGAAGGGTAAATTTTGGGCTGGATTATGCCAGTGATACATGTACAAAAGCAAAATGGAGAAAGCTTGCTGCACTGCCAACACATTTTAAAAATCTGATAGGAATTTTTTTTATTCCCAAAGATGAAAAGAAGAGAGAAAAACTGTTGCAGGCTATAGGTCGTACATACCTGACAAAATACAGGAATGTTGATCAAACAAGACTTGGTCTCCTACTACAAGATTTGTGTATGTGTGTTCACTTCATTTTATTACAGATAAGGAGAAAGTCGTTATTCATTGTTTGGTATTTGTTTTAGCCATTTATAGCAGGAATAAAATAGTTACAAATTTAAAATTACCTCTTTTTTTTCGGCATGTGTGAGGGTATATTTATTGCTGCTAGTTAAAATGAACTATAATGCCAAACTTAACTCTTTTTGGCTTGTTGTTTTAATTTCAACTGTTTTGAGATCTTTTTTGTTTTGCTGCAGCAATATTAAAGCAGACAAAAGAAAAATATTCTTTCTGGAGAATATACCACCCAATGGTGGTGGTGGTGGCAGCGATGGGGTCAGTCTGCAGCAAGAGTTTTCCCAGCTGCAAGCATTATCAGACAGCCTATATTTTCAAAGACCTGCCCTGGTCTGCAGTCTTACTTTTAGCCTCTGGCTTCTGGTCTGAGTTCAGTTTTTTATGTAGGTTCCTCTTGACTTCCTTTTTAAAATGTTTTTTTTTCTACTTTTTTGTCTAACAGCTGTTAAATTACATTTTTACAGACTTGTACTGTTAATCCAAGGTATGTCTAAGTATGCTGACCAGACCCTAGCGTCCAGCAGTAGGTCCACTCCAGCAAACTTACAGGGGTCCAGTGTGTCCATTGGACTGACTGTCAGGAAGTATTGGAACAAGATGGTCCACCTGCATGCTAATGTCCAGCAGCTGCAGTCAGAGGTAATGCATTACTTCAGTTTATCAGTACTGTCTTTATACATATATATATATAGTACAATAGATCAGACATATTTTACATTTCTTTTGTAAGTATATTGTGGAAAGAAAAGAAAGCAAAAAATTGCTTGCATCTGTTTTTTCTTTTCTGGTAATAGACTTGAACTATTAGATTATTGTTTGGGTAGACCATTGTTTACTTTTTTTCAGATCATGTAAAAAAAACTTGACTTTAAATGGACATGATATGAAAATTTATCACATATAGAAAATACGCTAATCTTGCTTTTTCAGATTAAAAGTAAAAACAGAAAAATACAGACCCTGGAGGATGCAGCAGAGCATGCCTGTAACTCCCCATCTAACCCACACATTCACTTAAAACCCAGTGAGGGACTTAACCCCAAGTCTCCAGCACAAAGTGGTTTGATACCACCCAGCAACCAAGACAGTTTCCCAGCTTGCAAAGATATTTCAAAAGACTGCTCAAACAAGTCTTCACAGACTATCGAGACTGCATTTGTACCATGTGAAGCCTGTGAAAAAGTCCAACACTGTCTGAAGGAAATTGGTGAAAATGTTGTGAATGTTTGTCAAACTCAGGGTCTGCCCTCTGCCCTGGCTAAGTATAAAAAACAGATATCAGGCTTAGACTGGATGACTGCTAATGACGTGACAAGGTGGAGCTCTGAACAAAATAAGGATCTTGTGAAGATCAACAAGCACTTGTCACATCTGGAGTCGACTATAGAACCTTTGAAAAGTGATCTCGCTGTGTCTCAGGAAAGTTGTAAGAAATTACAGGCCAAAGTTGATGATTTTGATAAAGAGATGTCCTTGGAAAGACAGACGCAGACTGCACAAAGAAAACAATATGAGCAAAAGATAAAAGATATTGAACAGCAGAATAATGAAGCAGTCTGTGAGGTTCAGAGACAGAATGACAAACTGCGGTCTGATAAAAAAGAACTAGAGACAAATGTTGTCAAGGCCAGAGAAGAGTTGGCAAGCACTCAGAAAAGAATAGAAGACTTGGGTAAGATATAGTTTTGCAGTTCTAAGCAATTTTACGTGATTGCTGTGCAATTATCATTATGAAACAGTGATTCTTAGAACTGGTAGTGGTGACGTTGGTCCATGTCAGGAAATGATGCGGTTCTGAGGACTTGATAATCACCATTCCAGACTACTCTATTTAAATAATTTCTTAGAATTGTTCTTTGCTTTAAAAGATTATCCAAATGGGTATCATTTTTATGAACACTTCAAAACTCTGCTCTCTTAGCATTTATTTTCATGACAAAAATGCATTGAAATGATTATTTTATCATTCTAGTTCTTGCAAAATGAGAAAAATGAGTTTTGAAACAAAAAATATTGAAAGATGATGGATGGAAAGTTACTGAGAGAAAAATTTTGTTCTGGTGCAAAATTTTTGTACTGACATAAAGAATTATAACAAGATACTGAACATTACAAGTTACAACTCACCATTAATTCAATGAAAAATGAAAAAATTGCATAATTTAGTTGTCTTTTATGGTGACATTTGCATTTAATTATATGCTGTGATACTATGACATTGTCAACTAAGAAGCTAACCTTTTCTAAGCATATACAAGCATGGATTACTAGTAGTTCAAGGCACAAATACTTTTGGCAAAGCTATTGTATAAAAGTGTTGGATAAAGTTGCTAATTTGTTCAGTCTGCTTTTGCGTAAGTGTAAATTACATTTTTGTCATTATGAAAACCGTAATTCTGAGAATTTTAGCGATGACGTTGATCCATTGCAGAAAATGGCACGTTTCTAGGGATTTGGTAATCACAATTTCATATTCTGTCTTCCTTTTATAGAAAGCTTAACCATTTCTCAGAATTGTACTTTCCCTTAAAGTATCATTTTAATTAAAAGATGACTCCAAAGGAAATCCAGTTTGAGCAAGCTATGCCACAGTATGTAATTGTTTCATTAGACAAGACCACGCTCAGCTCATTACCATTGTTGAAGTTAACCATGCATTGCCAAGTAACATGCATATATATGGTGTCAGAACTTGGGCTTGGCTTCTGTGATGAATTTTGAAACATTAGTAAATGTAGGGAATTTGTTGTCATCATGAGTGATGTATATTGTATTATTTTAGGTTATGTTTGTTTCATAGAATCAATGTTTGTGGTACCTATGTTTTCTTGCGTAATAAATCATTAATGGGCCATTAACTTTGCTCCCTCTGTACTTTCTTTTGCTGTTAACATGATATTCTTATCCCTACTGAATTTATGGAAAAGATGTCTGTTTCTTTCTTATTTTAAAAAAATGAATCACATTTGAGTTATTTCTGACATACAGAAGCCACCAAAGTCCAACTTCTCAAGGATCTCCAAGAAAATGCCAGCAACAGTTCAGAAATCCAGACTTTAGAAGGGGTTGTATCTGACTTGAAGTCTCAACTGAATGATGTGAAAGAAAAGTTTGATACCACCACGAAAGAACTAGCAAAGCAACAAGTTGTTAATAAGACTCTTAGCAGAAATAAAGAGGTAATGCTTTTATTTTAAGTATTGATTTGCGGCAATAATATATCTATTATCCACTCTTTGTAATAAGAGGAATTTTGTGCAATTCCATGGTTGTGTTTAGAGTGGAAAAAGGTTTTAGTTGCCTGCATATATAGCCTCATGCAGATAATGATGTGGGGGGTTAGTATTCAAATATAGGATAGTGATAGATAATTTTTTTAGTTTTATATGATACTTAAGCCTGCTGTTACTTCTCCATTACTGACCTAATCACCATGCCAACAATATTTTTGGGTTTTAATTTACAATCAGGGATTTGCAACTGACATCTGAAAAATGAAAAATGCATATCCAAAAGAATATATGCAAAGATTGCGAGAACTTATAATCATGGGGCAAAATGGTCATTTGTATCATATGTTCTGTTTTTCTGACAGTAACTTGTTTAAAAACATGACAATCAATTGTAAATACCAAGGGAGTTTTTTTCTAACAGTTATTCTAGCAGTTATTCTCTAAGCTAAATGTTGAAAATTTTTAGTTGACTATGGAAGAAGTGTGATTTTTAGAATTATTTTTCTTATATGGACTATATTTTTCTTATATGGAGTATATTTCTTATGTGGACTAGATATGAAATATGTTGTATTGACATTTGTTTGCACCTTAAGTAATAATAGATTTGTACTGTTCGTGTGAAGTTGGTGATAAAAAAGCTCTTGGCAGTAAATCAATACTGTGCTGCAATTAAATCTGCATCAGGTCTTGTTTTTGGGATTCTTGAAATAACCTCCATCTAATATTACCGTGTGTTTCCATGCAGTGATAACAGCTGTGTTCAAGTAGTCTTATTTCAAGAGCTATCTGTACTTGTATTGAAGTATCTGCATTACGGTACTTGCTCAGATTTTACAAAATCCATAAAAGTTCAGTCCAAGCTATATGAAGATTGTTGTTATTAATCGTAGTTTTATTTGATTTTTATAGGCTTTACAAGGCAAGCAAGAGTCTTTGTTGCAGAGAATTGATGCTCTGGATCAGGATAATGAAAGTCTTAAACAGAGAGTTGAAGAGATAGAAGACGAAAGAGACAGCCTTCAAGAAAACTTAGATAAAGTGACAGAAGAAAAAGAAAAACTTGTGGAGGAAATGAGTGTACAACAGGTAAGATATTCAGGTAATAAAATCCAAGATGATTTGAGTGTTTTTAAACTGAGGAGCTGCTGCATCAGTACTTGAAATAGTTATATAGAGAAACATGACTATATTTTTTTTTTGTTTTAAAAAATAACATCATGTGTGATTCAAATGTTAGTTGAAATGATGAATTGTCTGCTGCAATTTGATGAATTTTGTGAATTTCTCCTTCAAGTCTAACTATGACAGTCGTCAGGTACGTTGTGAACAATTTGGATGTCATTCTTTTGATTTTACTAGTGATATTTATTTTGCTATTTTTGTGATTTTCTAGCTGTGATTTGAATATTTAGACATTGGTTGATAATAAACCAATTTTATTGCTTTCAAAAATCACAGAATCTTATGATTTATGATTACAAAATTATATTGTTATTAGATTTATGTGAAGGCACCATTTTTGTTGTTTTTGCTATAGCTGTGCTGTCTTGCAATGTGTTTTATATTTGTGTCAGTTTTGGTTAAAAAGTGGTCATTTTTAAAAGCTGAACTCATTTCTCTATTTAAATGTGGACATACATTATGTTACCTTTTTTATGTTATTTCCTCTTCCAGATACATCTGACAGAGTTGAATAAAGAGAAGAGTTCTCTAGAGCAAGCCATGCAGCAGTTGGAGCAGAACATAGCAGCCCTGACTCAGGATTTGCAGGAGGCACAAGAAAGAGAGCGTCTGCTAGTGGAGTATCCAGACTTGAATGGACCAGTAAATCCAGATCTTGCAGGTAATTCTTTAGGGACATACATGTTGCTGTTTTCTTTATGAGAGTTGGGGGGAGGGGAGCACCTCTACCCTTATTTTTGTGATTAGGTGAAGGAGTTAAAGTCACAAAAAAGTTGCAGTCATAAATATTTACAACTTTGTCACTTTTAAACTGCTGTTCCTATATAGTTATACATAACCTCTTAGGTCACATTCACAACAATGAACTAACTCATCTGTGGATCAAATATGGTGACCCACTTAAGAGCTTGTCGTCTAATCCCCTAGTAGACACTGAATAGATTCCCCATGGGGATTTCGCAACAAGCATTCAAGTGGGTGAGTCATATTTGATTGTTGTCCATGTGGCTTTAGATCAGCACCATGTATATGATTGCCAGATGACGAGGAAAAAAAAGAGTTGTGATCAAAACCAAACAGAATGCGCATTGGCAGTTTATGGTCTATTTACAGGATCTGGTGACATAGCGTTGGACATGGAGAACCAGGTGAAAGCCAATCACACCAGAATTCAAATACTTGAAGAGCAGAACACAGCCCTCAGGAACTCAATAACAAAGGTGCTGGCAGCTCAGGCCAAGGGGAATTCAGCAGCAGGGGTAGGTTTGGAAGACTTGTGATTATTACCTCCCCCAAGGATGTTATGTTTCACCCCATTTTGTCTGTTTGTTTGTTTGTCTGTCTGTCTGTCATCAACATGCCTCAAAAAGTTATGGACCGATTTTGATGAAATTTTCAGGAACTGTCAGAAGTGGGCCAAGGAAGAGATGATTAGTTTTTGGTTGTGATCTGGATCAATAATCAATCAATAATCAATAATCAAAAATAAAAAAACTAAGTTATGGACCGATTTTAATGAAATTTTCAGGAACTGTCAGAAGTGGGACAAGGAACAGATGATTAGTTTTTTGGTGGTGAACTGGATCAGTAATCAATCAATAATCAGTGACCTGGATCAATAATCAATCAATAATCAATAATCAAAAATATAAAACATTTAGGGGTGAAATTGGATGAAGACTTTGATGCCTTGGCGGAGGTCTTTTCTAGTTGTATATATTATTTACTCTTTGTCTTTTTTTTCTTTTTCTTATGGTGGCCACAGCTGAGATCTTACATGCCCCCTCCATACTTCCTTTTCAGACTATACATTGTTATTTATTTTTATGGCTTATTTATTTAAATGCTATTTTTTTTTGTCTGTGGCACAGACAAGCACGTCTATAAATCTTAAATTTACTTGTCTTCTTCTGACTTTTTGAACATGAGCAATTTGTCTCAGGTTGTATTTTGTGTGGGCAGTACACTTGTTTTTCTTCTATGTCATTTTTGTAATTTTCATGTCAATTCCACTGACTGCTTGTTAAATTTGTCCATGACATAAGTCAAAGTGGTTTGTGGTTACTTTTTAGAATTGTCCTTGTCCTTGTTCTTTTTTTTTGCATGTTGTTAACAAACAACTGACAAGTCAAGGATTGTAACGTGTTTATTTAGCAAGTAAAAAATATGCTGACATTCCTTACATAAGTAACCAAGTTTAAATTTGAAATGATATTTCTTTTATCACATCAATGATTCATCAGCTACTTGGTTAAGAATACATTCAGTATTAGATAACAGTTTGACATTCATCCTCCACGTTAAAAACATGGGTTGTATGTATCTACAACTGTGTATTAATTTTTATCTCTGTATTCCAGTCGTCTGGCCCAGTGCCTCTGTGGCGGCCTGATGCTTCAAGATCTCAACAAAAGCAATCGCAACAACCGCATTATGAACAGCGTGGAGGCCACACAAGGTAATAGACCTCTGGTATTGTTTTTCATTGCAGTGATCAAATGTTTAGAATATCCATAGGCTTTTTAGTGTGTAGTTTCCCTAATGTCCATGATGTCCCATTGATGAGTGCTATACTGGTCAACATTTTAAATGTTTATTTAAGAAATGCTGACAATATAATCCTTTCTTATGGATAAGTCTAAGAATTTAAAGTGTTTTTATTGAATTGACATTTTTTTCTTATTCTGAAAAGGAAATTATCACAATTGGGTTTAATTCACTTTTTAGTCAGTGGAGAGAAAGGGTTGGTTGGGGGTTAGATTATTTGAAAAAAAAAAGAACCTGATAGTTATTTTTCTTTTTACATGAAGTAGTTTACTTCCCAACATCTAAAAGCACATTGCTGCATGTAGATATACATCAATTTATAGAAACATTGGCACCTCCCACTGTCTGCCCCAGCAATGTTGCTCAGGGTAAAGAAAGAAGGGGGTGGAATGAGGTGACCTTGTTCAAAGTTCTGCGTATTACACTGTTTTTACAATCTCTAATTCAAAGAACAGATTTTAGCCAATTTGTCCACCCAGTACAGAAATTCATTACTAGTGAAAAAAAGGCGAACAAAGTCAGCACCTGATCACTTAATAGCTGTATTAACTTCCAATACAGAAATTCATTACTAGTGAAAAAAAAAACACTAAATAGCTGTATTAATGTGCTAATATGTGTCCATCCCTCATTGCTCCAGCACTGTTGACCTAGGTAGTAACTCTACACCTCACCAGCTTCTTGCACAGCAGAGACTAAGAACTGTAGTACTGAGTGACCACACAGATACCTCTCTGCCTCCCCTTGACCAGGGCAGTAGTAACACACTGAGGCAGGACACTTTTACTATAAATAGGATTAATTCTGGAAGGTAATTTTTTTTGGTCAGTGTTTCCAGTGCAACTCCTTCAACTGGAAAATATTGAACTTATTATTATTTCTTTTGGCATTAAGTTCACTTAATTCTCTCCCAGTCGTGGACATACATGCTTTTAGTGCTATAATGTTAGAACAGTGTTTCTTATCAGTGCTTCTTCTCTCTTATGCCCAGCTCTTATACGTATATTGGCAAAACTTTGTTTCTGCTAACAGCTAACAGCATATCTTTTCTTGTACTTGAACAAAGCAGTTGTTCAAGCCATTTTGTCTGTAGTCAACATTTTAACCCTTTTACTGGTAGATTGTGTTCCTGCTTTTACTTCTCCCATGTAGCATACTTTCTCAGCTTTTTGCTTTGCCTGACCATAGATTTTTACACACATAAACTCTAGTCTTCACTTCAGGCTGGTATGCATGGTATTCCCAAATGCTTTTACTCCCACTATTGGCTTATTATTTAGGAGTTATGACTTTGTACCTTTTGTGCTTATTGCTATTACTTCACATGTCCTTTAAACCTATTGTGCTCCAAGTAAGAATCTCTAAGAATGTTACAGGGAATACTTTGATGGCCCCACAGGGACAAACTAAAGTTTTGTTTTTGGCAGAACCTACTTTCCCCCCTCCCCCTAATGAAATTGATAAATAATAATAATAGGGTTGATTGTGACCAATGAAATTTGAATACCTCTTTGCTTTTTCAATTATGGATATTTGTAAATAGAATTCCAACAGAAATTAAAAATTGGTAACATAAGAATAATATATTTTTTTTCAAAAATATGTTTATTTTTTTCTCCGGTTAGGAACATCCAGGAAAACCGTCCAAGAATCACCAGTGCTGGAAAGGCCTCTCCCTTGGTGGCTGCCAACAGTAGCAGCCTGGCAGCATACAAACAGCTGAAGAAAGCAGGACTTCTACCAGGTCCAAGTAGTAAAGGTTAGTTTCATTATTGGTTTTATCAAATTGAATAAAAAAAAAACTCTTGAAAGTTTTGTTGGATTTTGTGAATGCAACCAAATGGCTAGTTACATCCATAGATACAAATATCAAAGTATGCCTTTTAACACAATGTTATACTAACACCAAATAACACAGCTCAATTTATTATTTCCAGTGCTAATATTTATTACCTTGAAATTGTTTTTTTGTTTTTTTTAGGTAAAGTTGAGAGACCCTCATCAACTGGATCAGGAAGTGGTTACAGTCCACAGGATGTTTTTACTTGTGGCAAGTGTGACAAGGTGTACACCACCTTAGCTGACCTTGACCTTCATAAGTCTTACTGCTATGGACACTTATGACATGTCTCTGACATCTGTGACTTGTGGGAAGTGTGACAAGGTTTATGTCACCTTGACTGTCCTTGGCATCAGTCTCACTGCTGTGACATGTGTGTCACTTTATAAGAACTCACAGGTGGTTAAACATCGGATTTTCACTTATTTGATGGTCCAGGAATATTCCCTTGACTGTCTGTGGTCATAGCTAGACTTTACTGCTGTGGACAGCTGAGGCATTTCATGACATTTCTTTGACACCTGTCACCATTGCCAAGTGTGACAAGCTTTATGTGACATCTAATAATTGACGGAGTATTCATAAGTGGAATTGAAGTCTCTGAGATTTTAAAATGTGTGAAATGATGGGTACACATGGACCCCACTGCTACAAACCTGGATGATATAGAAAGTATTTTGTGAATTTGAACCAAAAGGGTTGAAAAGCATTATGCATTATGCTTAATCAAATGTAAGAATTTTTGGTGTAGATTAGGTAGAAGTTGTAATAAAAAGAAAGAAGGAATGAAATGAAAATACTTAGTAATACACAAGAATTCAGCTTAAACAGAAGTTTTGATCATGAAATTATAGCTAGATTATAAGAATTATTTTGTTATTGCAGTTAGAATTTTAGTAGGATAATGTCCCCTGCCACATATCCGTCCATACCATTTATTATTAAACAGGAAATGTGCTGCCCAGTAATTCAATAACTTTTTTACTTGTTTTGCTGTTTTTGTAGGTTTTGGTCAACCAATTTCCGTCCTATTCCTATTTTTATACTTATGTATTTACAGCTTTTAAATAAACTACACGGCCTAATATGTTATGGTTTTACAATTGAATAATATGACAAATTAAGTTGTTTTTTGAGGACATTTGAGGGCTTTTATTGCTTTTGGCACCATTAGTCTTTGTTTAAAATCGATTTAGATACATGCTTTGGTATTTTGCATTTTATTTCCCTGCACATTAAGGTCTGATAAAAGAAAAGAAAAAAAGAAATCCTTTAACCTTGAAAATTGACTGTAAGTGTACACGCAGGTTTGTTTTTGTTTTCTAAATGCATGTGCTTTTTGTTTTGATGATTTACAAATTAATCACAACATTGGCACAGACAAATGTTATCATTCACTTTAACCTTGGAAGATGACTTCACCAGTCAGTCAGACAGAAGTTATTTTGTTTTTCAAAACATCTCTGCTTTCTCAGAACATGTAAAAATATGAATCATTCCAGTCCTCATAAAGACAACATTAACAGTTTTTTTAAATCTGCATTTACCCATTGATGGCTAACATTCTTTAAATTAAAGTTCTTCTAAAGTTTGGAAAATATTTACATTTGACACTTAGTTTGCAGAACTATACAGCCATCTCATCATATTCCTTCTTGTATTTTGTTATGTAATTCTAAAATAATGCTATTTGAGGAAAATATTTGTGATGCTTATTTTTGTCATTTGCACCACAGAAATTTATTTATTTTGCATTATGTCAGAATTGAAAATTGATATAATTTTATGTATATTTATACTGAATTGTACCTAAGATACTCTCCAGACAATTTTAATTATCTTTAAAAAGATATATTCATCCCATTTTAAGTTAACAGTGTTATGAAACAGCAAAATGTTTGCTGAGTTATTATTCATTTTTTTAATTGCATTATTCATAAATGAAGTAAGTTGTATTTTGGTACATTTTTTCTAAACCAAAAACCAAATTGAAAGAAATGGAAAATGGACGAAAGCTGTGGCAAAATGCAGAGAACAAAATTTAGTTATGAATAAGGGAGCATTAAGATAAACCCATCGTACTAGCTGGGTCAATCCAATTCTGCCAGAAATTCTCCCTAAGTGCAATCACTGTAATTGGCTTAAATGTCTAAGGGAGCATTCACATTGAGAAGAGCCGAGGTCTAGTAAGGCCGCGACCTAAATATGGTGGACCTACATGAAAGGAAGACCGCTAATCTTTTTATGGTCTCTCTGCCTCTCACACGCCTCACCATGCGTTGTCCCTTGACCGGTTGAATTGAGCTGAAATTTAATTACTGTGCCCCTGCAGGGACGACGCATGGTGAGGAATAACAGGATTAGCGGTCTTCCTTTCATGTAGGTCCACCATATTTAGGTCACTGCCTTACTAGACCTCAGTTCTTCTTGATGTGAATGCTCCCTAACATGTCTTCTTGACTTGCTAGGGGGTAGTTAACTGATTAACTAGCTAGCATGTCGGACAATCGATTTAATTACACTGAATGCACTTTAGCAAGAATCGCCCTGCATTGTTGGAACGATATGGCTGGTACGATGTTTGAATCTGAACACAGTTTAGAGTCACTTCCCACTCCACCATACTTAAACTCTGGTATGATTTATACTTTTGCCTGCCATATTGTCACTTTAAGATAACTTATGTTTCCCATGCATGTTATAAATAGGAAGTAGATGGAAGTACTATGGAAATTTGAGAGATTTTAAATGCTAGATTTATGGTGTTTGAATTTTATAATTCTGTGTGAAAGTTTGAGCATTAGCTGTTTGTCTGACACATTTAAGTCAATTATCACATTCTATTATATAGTGTTCCTTTTGCTTTTCAAAGAAAAGGGTGATTATTTCTTTTGCTTTTCAAAGAAAAGGGTAATTATTTAAAAGGGTGTCAAGGATATACTTTCAGATGAAGATTGTAACTATTGATTTTTTTTATCAAAATACAAAAATATAGATATATAAGGATCTCTTACTTCAGCTGCTGATTTATTTCTTATTTTACTTAGTGTTATGTGAAGTAAAACAGAAATTACTTTGAAAATTATTACTCTGAAAATTGTGGTACACTTTGAAATAAAAAGAAAAAGCAGCCTTGGTGTGTTAAAACAGACACTTGGGTTAGCAGCAACCTAGTAAAGGTTCTGCTGAGACTTTTTGTTTTTAAATACACCATGAAATAATTTATTATTGTTATTTGGATTAAGTTTAATTCAGTCAAGGACATACATCTGTATCTAGGTCAATGATGTCTGTAGGAAGGTTTATAGCAAGTTTCCAGTGGATCTGATCTATTAAATCACAAATTTAAATATATGGGTAGTCCATTTCCAGTTCAGGTCTATGTCTGTCTGAACACAGCCTTAAAATGCCCAGGAGCGGTTTAAAAGTGCAATGCTTGTTTCATGTCATGGGAATATTTATCAACACTTTTTCTTAGCCTTTTTTATGTTTCATAATTTTTTTTAATAAATTCTATGAATGTGTGTTTGATGTCGCAAATTGTCTTATCACTGTTGGACCAGTGATTCAGTAAATGAAAGAAAGTCAGGAAATATGGAAATCAAATACAGTTTTCTTGTCAAAGTTAATTATTGTCTCATTTTTTGCTTGTTGTTTAGAAAGGTAAAGTCACACCAGAAAGTTAAAGAAGGGCACCTTATTGTGATACCTATAACGGTGTGTTTCTGTTTTGTATTTAATGTCGAGCAAATGATTATTTTCCTCAGCCAACAGCCACTTAAATTTGGTAAACAACATGGGCATTATTTACTTTCATCTTTAGCTTTTGGGATGCACAGCAAAGTATCAAGGCTTTGCAGTTAGTGGTATTTTGCTCATGTTCAAATTGATTTTTCTTCACTGGAATGCAATTTCATTGTGAGTGTTTAACGTCCATGTAGCTTATCATAAGTTACAATGTAAATGAAATAAAACTGACACTTATGTGAAAATGTGTTGTTATTTTTATATTCCTGCATTGCCTTATCTTCTACTTTCATCTAAAACAATTAAAATAAATTATTTCAAAGTTTATATCAATGCCCAGAAAAGGTTGTTTATACATTGAACATTATTACTCCTGTTAACCTAGAAAAGGGCCCCATTGCAGTAGAGAAGATGATTATGTAATATTGCATAAGGCAATTACAAAGTTTTGGCTCAAATTTTTGGATTTTATGGTGAAACTTTGTAATTGCCTTCTCTACCACAATGGGGCCCACATGGGAGTTTTGCATTTACCCACATGAGCCCCATTGTGATAGAGAAGGCAATTACAAAGTTTCACCATAAAATCCAAAATTTTGAGCCAAAACTTTGTAATTGCCTTCTCTACCACAATGGGGCCCTTATGGGTGAAACAGCAAACTCCTACATGAGCCTCACTGATTTAGAGGAAGCAATTACAAAGTTTCACCATAAAATCCAAAATTTTGATCCAAAAGTTTATAAATACCTTTTCTATTACATTGGGGCCCATGAGGGTGAAATCAAAAGTCCTACATGGGCCCCATTGTGGTAGAGAAGGCAATTACAAAGTTTCACCATAAAATCCAAAATTTTGAGCCAAAACTTTGTAATTGCCTTCTCTACCACAATGGGGCCCTTATGGGTGAAACAACAAACTCCTACATGAGCCTCACTGATTTAGCAGAAGCACTTACAAAGTTTCACCATTAAATCCAAAATTTTGATCCAAATCTTTATAAATACCTTTTCTATTACATTGGGGTCCATGAGGGTGAAATTAAAACTCCTACGTGGGCCCCATTGTGGTAGAGAAGGCAATTACAAAGTTTCACCATAAAATCCAAAATTTTGAGCCAAAACTTTGTAATTGCCTTCTCTACCACAATGGGGCCCTTATGGGTGAAACAATAAACTCCTACATGAGCCTCATTGTAGTAGAGAAGGCAATTACAAAGTTTCACCATAAAATCCAAAATTTTGAGCCAAAACTTTGTAATTGCCTTCTCTAACACAATGGGGTTTCTTTAAAATTGAAATGAATATTGACATTTGCATTAATTTCAAGAGTGATTAAATGCAAGAAGAGAACATTTTAGGGATATTTCAAACAAAAAAAAAATATGTCAAAAAATTTGGGTGAATAATTGGCGCAACAACTACTAGGCTAAATTTTTGTTGCTTTTTCTCTGAATATTATATCATATCTTTTTATTTTATTCACAATACAAAAAATATACTATTTAGACCATTTCTTGAATTCCTGTAATTTCCAAAGTAATTTCTAACAGTCAGTTTGCTAGGTAAGGATTTCTTGTCACAAGATTTAGTTTTCTTTTTTCTCGTTTTTGTAGTCTATGTTAATATTTTAAACTTGTCGCACCAGTGTTATCTATTACAAATATTGCTTCACCTTAACACAAATAATAATAATAATAAATTGATCAATTAATAAAAAGTATCCCAAGCACAATCAGGAAAAACAAAGAACCTGCAATATCTATATTTTACATTTTCATTTATTTCAAAATAAATATCATTTGATTATCTTGAATCATAACATCACATGTAGTAACACTGGTAGGGAGTACTCAGCTAGAACCCCCACACTGCTCACTTTACTGTTACAGGCAGTATATATGGTATCACTAATCTCTCAAACACTGAGAAATATTTTTCCAAGCAATTTGTTAATTTGACTCTCTAAGTTTTTACAGACTTTCTCTCAGCTACCTTCACAAGAATAAACTTCTGGTGGCACACGTTTTTTTTTTCCTGTAGACTTAAGTAGCAAATTCTACACTGACCTAATGTTTTTTTTTACAACTTCAGATATTGTGAGCACATGCCGTGTAACATGGCTTAAACGTGCGTTACATTTCCTGATACTGGTAGTAAATGTTTGCAAACTGTTACCCAAATTGTATTGACTTAAATGGAGTTCACTTTTCGTGAACATCCACTTTGATGTGTATTAGATGAACATTTTCAGCGTCCTGTTTGTCATTTCTTGACATGCAACAATGACATATTACTTTCACAGATGCTATATACCCTGTAAGTTGTAATATGTAGGTTAATATTGTGTTCATTTGGGTAAAAACAGAAGAAAAAAAGAGGTCTGATCAGCTCCAACTAACAAACAAAACTAATGGATTTCTCTAAGACTCTACAACAGACTAGAAAAGGAACTGATGCAAGCTTAATAATCACAGAAATATACACCCGTAAAATGTTCCCAAACTTTCTAAATTGATACCAAATGATTATCCCTGTGTTTAAAAAAAAATACTTGACCCTTTCAAAATAAAATTTATAAGTCGTGCTGAAGTAGTTACTTTCCTGCCAACCTCTTAATCTTGGTCTACTCAGGTTTTGACAGATTCAGCAGTTTGGAGTTGTAATAAAAAGCCAGGTTTAAATTCACAAATAAGAGAAAATTCCAATACATAGAAAGTTATAGTAAAGTATGTTATTTGTACCATCACAAACAAGGACTAAAGGGCATCTTGTCAGACCAATTATGTAAGCAATCACAGTTTAATATGACAGAATACCAAGACTTTCAATCAGTTATGAGAGTGATAACTTTTTCTAGACTTGACATATCTAAATTTCTGATTGAAGTTTTAGTCCACTTCAAAGTCGACTCTGGATATAAGAGGACAAGTATGTTGAATTCTGTTAAACCCACCAGAGTTTTTTTCATAAATGGTATAACAAATCACAACAATACTGCCTGTAAAGCCATTATTGTGGTTAGTTTTTGATTCTCCCTTCCTCTACACTGCTACATATGAAAAGAAATATCTTAGTTTCAATTATTCAAATAAATAATCTATGTACAGATACTATATTCAACATACACAACATACAAACAACAGTAATCAAACTGTACACTGATAATTTGTACAAACAGTTGAGCAGCAATCAGCAGAACAGTTGACATATTTTACACTACACTACCCTGTATTCTCTAACTACACAGGTTGGGAAATTTGTGGCATTTTAATCTATCTTGGCAAATACAGAATCATAAATTAAGAAAGAAAGTGTAGAGGTTAATAAATTAAGAGGTTACTGCATGACCATACATAAAAATTAATGAAAATTGATGAACTAACAAACTAACAGATATTAAAGCGGCAAAATTTTCAAGCCCATTTTCCATGGATTCTGAGTCTTTGTTCACTGCATTCTTGGTTCTACATTCTTGGGCAGAAATGATCTGGAAGAGCAAGTGTGGTAAACTTTGCCACATAAGCTACAGATATGTTACACTGTAAGACTTAACAATGCTGATATAGATGGTGTGGTATAACAATTTTCTCAGAACTATAACTGACACTGTTATAACAAGCGCTAATATTTGATACCAAAGGATCTATAAATACACATCATCCAAGCTACACAGCAATACACCATCTTTTGAACACTTCAAATTATTAATTAACAATATTTCATTTTTGTTTTTTCTTGATATTTCTGCTATCTTCATAAAATGGATCACATAATAAAAAATGTACAATCAACATTTGTGCACAGCCATTTTTCATACATATCAATCAACAGTAGTTAAACTCAAAGTCTTTTTTTGATGTGGTTCCAAAATATAATTTGCATATTCAGACTGACGCTACTTGGCCAATGTGTTAGTGGAACACTCTAATATAGAGTATTTTTAATTGACCTATTCTTTTGTGACTTGATAGCACCAAGAAAACATCATTTGATTTTATGCTTTATCTAGCATATGTCTCTAAAAGAAAAAAGTACACTAAACTATGTTTTGAAATAAAGATTTGCTGCGTAAAGTCATAAATAATACTGTACTGGTAAACACTTTTGGGATTTGATTTTTCCTTCTGACTGATACGGAACTAAATCTTATGTACAAAAATAAATATTTCTGTGTCAGGGTGTGATGTGCATGAATACTGCAAGAGGAGGTCAGAGGTCATTACAGGTCATCAAAGGTCATACTCCATCTACTGGATCATAGTCTTCATGTTGCTCTAAAGGAATTGTAATAATGGTTCCTACAAATAGAATAGACAAAATTAGTAAACAAATGAAAATGTAAGTGTGTTGTCTTTATATATAAAACTTCTGGTACAAAAGTGGTCAAGCAATATTCAGTAAATTAAGTGTAACATTTTTCCCATTTGCATACATTTTGAATAAATGGGGAATACAACTGAACAAATTAATCGAACACTTTTTTCCACACTAAATCTCACCTTGTGGTTCAGAGAAAACAACAATGGATTTCCTGGGAACTGTCTCTCTTTGGCACCTGGGACAGCTGCACGAGGGCTGTGAGCTGGCAGAAGTGATGGCGGCTCCATCTTCTTCCTCGTGCTCATCACCACCATCATGATGCTGAATATCTGGTCCATCCTCCATCCCTTCTGTCACCTCTTCTATGGTTGGAGTGGTCTGATAAGACAAATGAGGGTGCGAGAGGCGCCTTGAGGTGCCTGCTTGGATTGTGGCTGAAGAGGTACGAGAAGAAGAAACTGTGCAATAAGGAGTGGTAGAGTTTGTTGTTGTTGTTGTAAGAGGCTTTGGCTGTGGATTTGACAATGATGAGGATAAAGACAGAGGTGACTCAGTCTGGAGGGAAGAGGTAACATTTGAGCACCTCCCCCTGTTGCCATTTTATGAACTTGACACAGCTGCTCCCCCTGGCGAACAAACCGAACCTCATTGGACTGCAAACCTGTAGGGATACTGTATGTTATTTCGTGCTGCGTGCACATGTAGGAGACCACTCCAGGTAAGATTTGTGGCCCCAGAACACTTGGGCACGTACACTGTGCTGTAGTGCTATTGTTACCATTATTGTTGTTGACAAGTTGTGCTTGGTTCAAGTTCCGATGAATTTCCAACTGCTGTGCCAACAGAGCAGCTGGCACTGCTCCATCTGAATCATCACTGACTATAGGACTAGGGGTGGTCCCAGAGAATGAATAGTGTGAGGAATCGGACTGCTCGTGTTCATTTGACGGATAATTTTTATAATTGTTACTTCCAGTTCCAGCTTTCTGCTTATATGTCCGATGAGGTCTTGGGGGAACAGCTGGAGGTTTCTCGGATTGTTCCTCTAGTTGTTTTTGTTGCTGTTGTTGATGATGTCTGTGGTGATGTAAATGTACTGAGGGTTCATGCTCTCCTGAGGAACAACTGCTGCAACTGAACCGAATTTCCTGCACTCTTTTACAGTTAGGTTTTGAACACACGTGCTCACCCATGGCACAGGTGGGCCTTAGATGAATAGGTGGCAACCTAGGAGGTGCCTTTTTCTTCTTTTCCGCTGAGGAATCATAATAAATATTTGAATTGTAACTACTGACATCACTTGGGACAGTGTCAGAGCTTCCATATGTGCTCTGATTACTGATATCATTGTTTGAGTTATAATCACATTCCTGTTCTGACAAAATAATCTCAGCAGAACTTCTGCTATTTGTATTATTATTACACACTGGCACAGAAACTGGTCGTTTGCTATTACTACCATTACACAGCGACCTTTGACATGTTGTAGGCGTAGCCACTCCAAACTGCCCTCTTGTGGCAGAACTCTGTGTAGTCGAAACTGAGTCTTTATTATAATTGGATGCAGCATGGGAATGGCAAACTCCCATTTTCCGTTGAGTTCTATGTTTTCCACAGGAACTGTGGACATCCTTAGTTCTTGTGTATGGGGAAGCCATGCTGGATGAAGCATGCTCCCCCGATTTCATAGTCTGGGGCTTACTCACCGAGTTATGATGCCCGCTGCTGGCATTGGCAAGAAACAACGTCCGAGTACAAGGGGAGTAAGTATTCACTGAATCACCAGTGACTTTACTTCCTGAATATGAATTTGAATTCCGTCTTTGGTGATAGGGGGATGCCACATTGCCAGTTTGGCTGCCTGCAGTCCTGTGATACTTATCAGCTCTTTGAATAGAGGTTTTTGTGCTGACATCTTTTTGTAAATAATTATCTGGTGGCTGTTGATACTGTTGTTGTTGTTGCTGCGGGGAGTATGGACTGTACACATTTTCGTAAGTTCTGTTTGAGTATGAATTATGAAAGGCCTGGCCAGTTGACGTCTGACCAGAGTGTCTACTGACCATGACTTGCATATTATTTCTGGCGTGGTGTTGAGAGTGACTGGCACCCTCCATTGCGTGTGGGGTTAGAGCCACTGTTATGTGGGCTGGGAGAGAAATAACACTATTTGTTCTTGCCAAGTCCACACGAGGTGCGGGAGCATTTTGGGAACCTTGCTGACACTCCAGTGTTGAACTGTTTGAACCTGTGGGTTTCAGGCAATCTGGAATAACACAGAAAATGTATTATAACTATACATCCTTTAAATAAATAAATAAATAAATAAATAAATAAATAAATAAATAAATAAATAAATAAATAAATAAATAAACACATTAAAATACAAGCAACACTATTTTATGTTTATGAAAATCAATTTCACTGACTGTGATTCACTTGTCAAACATGACTACACATTCCACAAATTATCATAAAATGAATCCTTAATTTCTAATTAACCAAATCCATATGCCCAAAATGGTTAAACAATGGAAGAGCTCACCAAACCTTCAGTAAAGACTCACCCAAAATGTCAAAAAGACAGAGTGGACAGGTATGGTTGACCAGCAGCCAAGGGTCCACACAGGCCTTGTGGAATTCATGGTTACATGGAAGCAGGCGTAATACCTGGAGAAGACAACAGATATGAGCTGATTTGATAGTTCACAAAGCAACATAGTTCTGATAAATAGTGAAGAAAACAATACAAATTCACCAACAATAAACAGAGTAGAGAAGCCCTTAAAAAAAGAAGGAATATATGTAATATTTCATATGTGAAAAATACAATACATGGTCTTAAGGTGATATATCCTAAAGTGCTTGATTAAAAATGTCTACTACATAAGTTTTTCTATGCAAGGACTTATGAACTAAATCATTAATGACATGAAAAGGTATTCTGATATGTGAACAGAAAGGGAATTAGGCTTACATTGCAAAAATGGGCCAATCTATTTATCTTTTTAACAAATAAAGGCCGAAAACAAATAGATCTTCCAAATGAAGACACTTTACAGTTCATTAATTGCATAACCAATACCCAAAAAGAACAACAAAGAAATATCATTATTGAACTTCTATTGATAAAAAATACACCAAATCCACTGAGACTCGTGTCCTTTTGGCCTCAGATTTGACTGAGTGCGTCATCACATGACTGTACATTTCTGGCAACTCATCTGTATTTAACTTGGCTAATGAACACATGCATGTCATGTTTAAGAATTAGCAAAACAATAAACAACCACACACCAAACACTTGGACAAAGTGGGTTCAGTTTTCATACAGTGCAAAATAAGAAACATATAAACCTCTTTTTAACTTTTCTACATTTCCTTTAACATGTAACTATCATTCCTGGTAAAAATGAACATGGAGTGGTACATTTGCTCTTTTATTTTCAGACAAAGAAAAAATTCACCCTCATGTTACATGTCCACTATTTATGTTCCCATCAAGTATTTTGGTCACTAGTGACCCTTGCCTTAGATGCTTAGCAGGGTTTTCTACCCCCTGCCTGAGTTATATTTTTCCTAGCTTGTTGAACAGCTATTTGAGTAAAATGATATATTTTCTTTTAGCTAATTCACTTTTTTAAAGGCAATATTTACATCTATTGGTCAGTGTATTGCATTATTTGAGTAAACTGTTGAAAGCCCTTTCAAAGTTGTTTTGCCCAAATTAATTTGTTTCCACCAATTTGCTGAATTCCATACTAAACATGAAGTATTTTGTTCCTTTGTTGAAAGCTAAAATCCTTAATTTCTAATTAACCAAATCCATATGCACAAGTGTTAAAAAAAATATCTGCTATTCTCAAAATAAAGACAATCTAAAATAGATGGGAAAAACACAAATCATAACAAATATCTGCCTAACTTTGCTACATAATTTAGGATCAGTCTTATGTTATTTTGTAGTGTTTTATTTCTCAAACAGCATAGCATAAAAGTTTGTATCTATTAAAAGCTTAATTTCATCTATACCCCAACTCACCTGCCCATCCTTATATTCTTCCAAGCAGATTGCACATTGTGCGTCAGCGCTTGAGCTTAGACTGTAGAGGTCTGGTGTAACTGTGCGGGAGGGGGAGGGCCTGTGTTGGTTTGGATGACTTCCCAGACTCTCTGTATGCTTGCCCAAACCCTTAAACTTTCTGGTCTCTAGCCTGGCAATAGCCCTTTTGGAAAGTTCTGTGAGAGATGCCTGAAATATCAAGACCAATAAGTTTAATTTGTATTATAGATTGGTTTAATCTTGCCCATTAAAAGAAGGAAACAATGTCTCAAGAGGCTCTAGGTTCTGTCAACTTTTTGTATTTGATTGTGCGCCAATATGTCAAACAAAATTTTTAGGTTATTTAATTCAACTACATCTTTTTATAACTTAAGCTCATGCTCAGTAATGTTTCTGCCACCCCTCCCCCCTTTTCAGATAAGCAACTTTTTCCCTTGCATTCCTAGCTAAATTAGAAGTTTTACGTATTTTCTCTTAAATATTATTGCTTTCCTGTGTATATATTGATATAACAATACGAATAGGTCAGTGAGTACAAATAATTTAATCAAAGAAAGATTACACCAGTCCTGCTTTTTATCTGAAGCATATTTGAAAAAAAAAAAAAATAGCCTGGGTAATAGTGAGAAACAAACTTGATAAAAATTTGATGAGGGTTCATCTTTGAGCAAAGACCACTACACAATGTAATCAAAGTTTAATACTTAAACTCAACCATGGGTGGAGGACATAAACAACTGAGAATAATGCATTCTGATAATGAATAGTATTCTGAAATTTGGACAAAATGTCAGTAGTATGGTCAAACCATTCCCCTCGCATTGATTCCTGCGATCAGGTTCTGATTGAGACCCCACCATGCTCCAAGCAGCCCTCCAACCCCTGCAATCTCCGAGGGCTTTGAAGATTGACATTCTCTTGATGTGTTTACCTTTTCAAAAACACAAGGCTTAAATATTTCATACTTTCATCTTACTCGATCAACAAAATAAAATCAATGAGGACCTATAGGTATTGATGTCATGTTTTTGTTTCAAGGGGCTTTGCGGCTGGCCTCCCATCTCCATTATCCCTCGCCCAATCAATAGTTAATTAGCTTTAAGTAAAGCCTATGCAAACAAATCCAGTCTCTGCCGGGTCTCACCTTTCGAGGCACTTTGAAGATGGAGACTTCAAAATGAAGTGGCTATAAGTAATCAATAAGTAGGGAGCTTAATGACAAAATTTGTTCAGACTTAAGACCTCCTATGGATAAGACACTATGCTTTCATACAAATACATAAAAAACAAGTACATTAAGTGTATGAAAGGGCATCAAAAGGAAGGAAAAACACAACGCCCGTGGTAGCTTTACCTGTAATAGCTGTCAAAGGGTGGCTGTTCTTTCAAAGTCCTTTATGTTTGATTGTGTCAAAGGGGATTCAATGCCAAAAACTCTGGACCACAATCAATGTCTGATAAGTTGCCAAACATGCCTGCTACATTATAGACCTCGAGGACAAGTATTTAACCCACCCTAATCTCTCCCAATTAGATACCAAATAAAAATTATACGTGTTGTTGTCAGTTTTTCAAATGAGGGTGAGAGGAGGGAATCATCAGAGCAGGATAAAGCCATGACTTCTGTCCAAAAAATATACTTGAAAAAATCCTACGTACCTCCGCTGACCTGTTCTTCCATTTCAGCTGAAAAAGTCATAAAGACAGGACGTTAAATAGTTAGCTTACAAAAGCTACTTTGTATGTAAAGTAGGCCTGCAAAACTCAACTGAAGGCATTACACATTTCAAACAGTTAATCTAAGGAAGCTAAATTGTATACAACATCAAAAAAAGTCAAACTGATTTAAGACAGAGTTAAGATGTATTAAGATGGATAGCCTTAGGAGGCTACTTTGTAAGAAAAGCAAGTAATACATGGAAAGCTGACTGAAGACACAAAGTTAAATAGTTAGCCTTAGGAAGCTACTTTGTATATAAAGTAAGCATGGAAAACTGATTACAATGTTTAGTATTTCAACCTGTGTGGCCACAGCTAATGTAACCAGGTAGACATAAAGCCAAAGGCAGAACAACTGTAATCTTTTAAGTCACAAAGTGACTTAGGGTGGTCCATAAATTGAAGCACAGAATACACCTTCTGTGCATCAGCTTTAAATTTTAACTACATATCCCTTTACGTTTATAAACCAAGCATATCGTTTTTCATCAATAAACAAGTTGTTTTCAATCACACTGGAGGCAATGGGGCAACTCTTTTTTTTTTCTTTCTTTATCAGAATAAAGCAAGTATAATGATTGATTGAAATTAAATGACTACAATATGCCATGTTTGAAACATTCAATTTTTTAGCTGAAATATGAGAATTTGTTTATAGGTAGTGTCAGTGGTTTTAGGAAAATTTTTGGTATAAAAAGTAACCCAACTTTTGTGATTGATTGTCAAAAATCAATGATTTAAATTTATGAACATTAAAATTTTACAGCAAAAATGTGGTGTCAAAGCATGAAATGATAACTCATTTGATTTGTATGGATCAAAGTGTTAGAAATTGTAGTAACTTATATGGATAAAGTGCTACCAATGCCTCATTAAGATAAAATTTGGATTTAGGCAAGATATCCAAAGAGCATTCAAAATCTACTTTTAAAGCATTAATCTTTTTTCATTTAAAATTGATATCTCACCTTTAAAATAATTACCAAGCAGACTATACAGAAGAGTACTACGACTGCCAGCAAGATGCCCATGTGAAAAAATTCCTTGTCAGTGGCTGCCTGCTGAAATAAAGAAATAAACTGGGGTAGATATCAAAATTACCAAGAAACTCAAAAATATTGATGATATAATAAAATATATTATAACGCTATGCAATGTATACGCCTATATATATGTATGGTCATAAAAAGTTCATATAATTTGCCCACCAAAAACAGAACAACTCACATCCAATCAAAAGAAGATACCTCCCCAATGCCATTTTACCCTTGTAAAGTTAGAAAAATAGATGGGGGAACTACAAAATCTGATGCAGTTTCCTGTAATGCATAAGAGCCACTACATACAAAAACACTTTCATGTGGGTTGGAACACATTAACGCAAATAAGTGTTGTGTATCTTCCTGCACAGGTGCTTTCTATGTAAAAGGCATTCTCGCGACCTGGGAAGTCAACGAAACGTGTATAATCATATTTGCTACAGCAGACCACCTTAGCCAGTCTTTTAAGGAATGTTTTATTCCCAGTTGAGTTATTTACAGAAGCCTGGGTAGAAGCAACCTGTAAAGGCATCTTTTTAGGAACAGAAGCGAATTACCAAATTTCAGCAACTCCCTCACGAACAAACACACTTTAATATATCAAACAAGCCCCATGCGGCATATCAAACAACTCTTTCAATGAGAAGATAAAATGCTTAACCCTTTCCTTGTCTCTAAACAGACACTTCTCAGAGAGAAGTTCAAGAATGGATTTCAAAGAAGTATAAAATTGATCACTTTACTTTCAACCAAGGCAGTAAAACGTACAATTTTAACTCCCAGTTTAGCTTCCAAAAGTACACAAATAAAAATCCTAAGAGAGAATTGAAGCCATGGCTGCCACCCCAATTAATGGAAAGTGACTTAATTGGGATTAATTCACACTGAAACACATGTAAAATAAAAAAGGAACCAGGAACATCTACAAAGGATGCTATATGGCCACAAGGTTACCATTTTTCTTTGCTTAGGGCTTTGAACCCCACGCAGATGTGTGTCTACTATTTGCAAAGGTCACAAACATGAACATATATCTCTGTGGATCAAAGGAAGCCAATTTGGCAGGCATCCTGAAGAATGGTTGAAAAGAACTTATTTTCTCTCTTCTTGTCTGCCCCTTAAGGGTAGGCACTTGAATCAGATTCCTCAGGCCATCTTTTAGTCCAAATAAAATTCCACACTGAAATTGGTCAGATTACTTGAAATGGCCAGTTGAGAAAAACATTTAACAGAACACTGTGCATTTAGAGCTCCCATCTCACTTTCCCAGCCATCAATATGAGACATCAGACAATAACATTTTGGATGAAGTAGACCTTTTCAAGCATGTTGTACAGTTCAGAAAGAGAATGAACCGAAAATAAATGACTTTGTACTGAATGCCTGTTCATTAAAAAAAAAAACAATCTTTGAGAAGAAGAATCAGATGTCAAATAAAATTATCTTCCCTACCGGCAGTTAAAAATTAGCATAAATTCTAAAAAATGGTTACTTGAAAAATTAGAGAGCATTATTCAGTTTGTATGTAGGCTAGACTATTTAAGTTGAGAAGATCAAGGACACAAATAAATTTCTTTTCACATTTCTCCATGCATGTGCACAGACCATGTAATCTAAAGTTTTGGGTGCTACATAAATTAGCATTTTACTTTTTAACTTAAATAAAAACAAAAAAGAAGAGAATATAATGAACCCAATGGTGTAATACAAGAAAGAGATAAATAAAACTTTAGAGGAAATGATAAGACTGCACTGAAAATTTAGCCTGCAACGTTGGAAAGACTGCACCCTTGCTCGTGCCTTTGCAAGCCCATTCACCGGTGAGGATTAAACCCACTTACCCTAATGGACTTTTTGTGATTAAAATTTTTGGCTGTTATTGAGAAAAGGTGTAATGGCAGAAAGATTGACTTCTGTAAGGATGGAATGAAAAGAGCCAATGCTATGTGATGCCTAGACCTCACACTATAGGGTTGTCTCCCTTTTTAACCACTAGTGTGGGAATGCAGGGATCTGATATTCAGGAGGTTGTGAGAATAAAACCAGAACTATAGAAAGTATTTCAATTTGATATCTAATTCAAGTAGACTTGTGTTAAGTGGGAGAAAAGCTACAAGTAAGCTGTGTGGCACTTGTCCAGGAATTATTTTGAGATCACTTTATCCAAGGTTAGGTCACATCTGTGTCCCATCCTTCAGGTTTTTTTTTACAAGAGAGGAAAGCTGCAATTTTCTTCCTTAAATCATTTTCAAGTTAAACTGGTAGCATACAAACATGCAATTATAATATTAATATTTATTGCCAGTCCCTCTGCAACTCCAATAACAATGAGAGAGAGAGAGAGAGAGAGAGAGAGAGAGAGAGAGAGAGAGAGAGAGAGAGAGAAGACCAACTTACCTCTTCTGAAACTTTCTGAGGATGAATATGCCTCACTATCCTTGCTCTTGCCACTTTCTGCGTATTTACAATTTTCATGAGTTTTGTGGCTTCTTTCTTTTCTATAGTAAGGACTGGGCGCTCTAAGATTGGCAGACCATCTTCATGGTGTTTTTTGAGCTGAAAACATTGATACAATTAGTCTAAATATCTATAGGACATTTTATTTCTTACAACATGATCTATAATTTTGTGCCATTATATAATACTTATGCAACTTAAATATGGCATAAGAATATCTTTCTATCTTTCTTCTTGTTGACAATCCTCTTTTGACTACAAACATTGCTATTACATGAACACAATGCATGAAAGTCTAAAAACATCATCATCATCAGCATAACACAACAGGAAATTATGTTACAAAAAAAAAAGAAAAATGCAGTGGATAAATAATGCAATGACAGTTAAAATGATACAATTAATGGTAAGTTATGGTTTACAGTTAATTCCTCAGACTCAGGACCCTGTTTGTGGTCTACATTACCTCTGCTGCTGCATGGGGATTATCTGTGATATCAAAGACAACTGCTGTGGCCCCTCGCTGAATTGCACGTTTTGCCTAAAAATATCAGACAAAAAAACATGAGTAGAATCATAAACAGATAACTCGCCTACTTTTTTTGGGATGATATTCTTAGAAAAAAGACACAAATGTGTATGTTGAACAGATATATTTTGTCAGTAGGAAAACAGATTTCTCTTTACTATTCCACTCTAGGCAGCGAAAAAAGACAAGGCGTATTTACCATGTCTCTAATCTATACAATACAATACAAACAGAAAAATGCTTCTTCAATGAAAACTGTCCACACTGGAAAAGTCACTGTATGTGCCAAAAGACTAAATTGTGAATTTCTGACTTTGAATTCATTCTTGTAGTGGATGCACCTTTATCTCTTCAAGGTGCCATAAATTGTGTACACATCCAGTCCTCCTCAAACATAAACTCTAATGATAACATAACCAGGGTAAGTAATATGCACACCATAGATGATATGATGAAGCTACCACTTTAGATGCACAGATATATCACTACATTACAAAAATTTCATGAAGTGTCATTTGTTTTAAACTCTCTCTCTCTCTGTGTGTGTGTGTGTGTGTGTGTGTGTGTGTGTGTGTGTGTGTGTGTGTGTGTGTGTGTGTGTGCGTTTGTGCAATGTCTCATAGCCACCCACCAAGTACAACCTTGAGACAAAAACTTACACTTTCCAACAAGCATATTTCAAGAAAGCTACTTTGATGATCAAAATTGGCAAGGGTGCATAATAACTGGACAGACTACCAACATAAATTCCATCCCTGAATGACAACATCATTGACCTCCTGGGGTACCATCAATTATACCACAGGAGGTTCCCAAGAATTTGGGTGGTGCAAAGTAGACCCACACCCATTAACCATGCAGAACACTTATCATTCCTGGATACCATCCCGAGACCATGTATTAGATGCATTGAGAGCCTGAGTATTATGTGTGTGATATCATCAGCAGCCGAGTGGCACACCTGCCCTCCTAAGGGCTACCTACTCACTCCTGCCGAGGCCATTATCAAACAGCCTGAATAAAATAGAACTCCTGTTATTTTATAACTTTGTGTCTGTCTGTCTCTCTGGGCAGGATCTGGGATTCTATCTACAGTTAGCTCATTTTCTTTTACATTCAAAGAATTAAGGGAAGATGATAAGATATCACATAAGAACCTACCAATAATCCTAATATGCATTTCTTGTCATAAAAACTGAAGGAAGAAAAAAGGTGTAAAACAGTTACAGTTGACAAAAAAATAGAGTAAAACAGGAGCAGGGATGGTTTAAAGAGATTATCCCACAGCCATATGCCAGCAGCCTGTGATGATTCACCATGTCACAATTATCTATATCACCTGTTTGATCAGGATAGTTTCTGTTGATTGGTTTATAGGTCAATATGAATATAGATTGGGGCAGGCATTGCTAAATTAGTGCAAAGGATGGTGATAGTGCATGATACTGTGTGTGTGCTTATGACATTGCACTAAGTTGCTTGTGCGGATAATTTTTTCCCCTAAAATGTGTGATGATTTTATAAAGCTAATAAGGTAAAACTGAAATTTTTAGCCACATGGTTGATCAGTTCTCTGGCATGTAGAAAATCATCCTCATTTTATGCGTGTTTATCCACACTTGCAACTGAGGTAATTCCATTTTGAAAAAATAAATCTATCCAAAAGTACCTGTGCTTTATACTATACATTTACTCCTTGCTCATAATCAATTTTAGTTAAACACCATTATATATTCACATGAGGCTCCATAATACTGAAATTAAACTTGTAAACACTCTTTGTTTTATATCTGTGGAATGAAGACTTCAAAGGGGAACCAGTTCCCCAGTCGGCTTATTTAATAGCCCATAAAAATTCAAATTCCCTGCTGTGGAGAGGTTGATAACCTTTTACATTTTCTTAATACTATACGTCTTAAGACACAGATAACCCTTTCACCTGCTTATGGCCAGAGTGGAGTTTTATCAGATTTAATGGCCATTTCATGACATAATATTCCACAGTATATAAGGAAAGTGATAAGGACTTCTAACAGAGATGCATTCAACTTAGCAATTTAATTCAAAACTCAATGTGAAGTGTGAAATGCTCAGAAATCAATATTTGTACCAAGGGATTTGTGATTTAGGAAAACTTGATGGAGTGACTGTATGTGGTGGTCAAAATAACACCCATGAGCACCAACTTTACCTAAAATCAATAAATAATTGTGCTGTTAAATTATATCTGGTGAGATCACTTTGCGTTGTAGTAGTAGTATGTAACTTATATAATCAATCAAAATTTTCTATCATAATTTTTTGGCGAAGTTAATGTTTGGAAAATAATGCTCAGCTAAGAGGACCAACAATAAATCCAAACTTGGGGGGCAAAAAGAAATAAGTTTAGAATAATATGATAACAGCCCACATTGTATTATAACCTTGAGTTAAGGAAATTAGGGTTTGCTTAAGGGTTCACCTATTTTCAAACCCTACCATGGATAAAGTGCAAGTACCTCATCTAAGAGAGTGAAACACTTAGTAACTTGCACTATATAATCGCAAAATATAGGCATTGTTATCCATATTTGCATACATTCTTTTTTTCATGTTTGAAAATTTGCAATGAATATTCTGCAGAAAAATGCAATCAATTCTAATTTTAGAAGCACTTAGCCCAAGGTGTGAGACTCGAATTGCTGCTTCTGACATCTAACTGTCAAATCACATAGAAATTTCATCTACATCAGAGAACACAGGTTCTTTGACTGAGCCCCTTGCCTGGGGTAGAGATTCTTAAAAGTTATTTTCTGAATATTTCTACCTCAAAGGCACACCAGATGTAATAAAAACATGCTGAACAAAGATTTACAATCATTTCTCCCAACAACTTCAAAGGGCCCATTAACTTTGCAGCTCCAAGAGTAAGACAGGTGAGGCCTGTTGCAGAACATGCATCACTCTGGTTCTAAGAAAACTGATATTTAGTTTTGCAGTCTTGCAGATCATTTATTTTGCTATTCTTTATCATAACTAGAAGTTCTTTATATGTGAAAATATATTGTAGTTGGAACCATAAAAGAGAGGTGATATATTTAAGGCAAGGCATTGGAGCTCTACTTAGGCTAAAGAAAAATTAGCAGAAGTGGGAAAGAAAAAAAAAGAAGAAACGTCAAATATACCCTGGTTCTTGTAAAAAATAAACAAACAAACAAAAAACTTTTGGGTTGAAAAGCAAAACATGTGAGTCTATGTTGCACTGCTCATTTTTTAAAAACTTGACTGGTGCCAGTTTGCAAACCTGTTCAATTCAAGCTAAGAATACTCACTTTGACATTTTGTCTCCTTGCTAGATAGCTCTTGGTTAATTTGCATGCAAAATGCCTAAATCCTTCTTGTAAAAGTACAGTATGCTAAAGGAAAACTGTAATCTTAGACTGTTTTTCACTCAGGTATACTTCTAAGAAAACCTGACAAGTGGATTATACAATTTAACAGATCATTTATTTGATAAAAAGCTCTTGCACACAGGACTGTAAGGTGAGATATCACATAATGGAAATTTAAAACGTTTATTCCGTTAATAATCTTAAGAGAGCCATTATCAGTTTAACAGAGGAATACACAGTTAAACAGATCATCTACATCGAAGACAGACCACTGTAAATAAATGCCAGTTCTTTTGTTCCCCTCAGAAATTATGTACACATAAATCTAAAACTATCTCGTCGATGCATAAGTATGTCCCTCTAGTCGAACCAGACATAATCGTTATATCATTTAAATGTTCCTGTCAGTTTAGACAACTGTCTATGTATCTAACTCTAGTAATCCTTTACCTAGTTCAACACTGATTAACTGCAAATTTGCTCAGCTCTGTCCAATGCTATAGATCTATTGACACAGGGCCAGCTGAGATGCTGGCGGTATCTTTGTATTTTGATAGTACTTTTTAAAGTCAATATGCAGACCAGCTTTACAAGGGAGTATGCTTTGACCTAAGGTTCCGTGCTAGGCATCCACTTGGTGCAAGCTAAAAACTGAATATGGGACAAACTGATGAAGTGTACAGACTTTCTGACTGAAAGTGACAAAATAAAATGGTATTTTTTTTCAGTCACTTAAAAAGTCTTTACTGCACAAGGTCATCTGCACTGAAATCTGTAACAACCAAAAGTCATGCTTAAATTGCTTTTTAAGTGTAAATATGTGAGCAAAGACCAACTTGAACATTCAGAAAAAGTTAAAGTACAAACTCTTAAATTACTATGGACAAAATGTTTGCAGGAAAAGAATGAGATACCAAAATTGGAGCCCAAGGAGAGTTTTCAACAGCAACATGCATCAAGCTGTGTCAACCTAAAATGCATTTGAGCATTACTTGTCACATTCTTTTAACATTAGGGTTAAGCCTTGACAGACACAGACCTCTCTTGTGCCACCATTAAGATCTAAATTCTGAACATGCATTGGCCTATTCACATTAAAAACTACTGTTGCTGACCTGGTCCACTATGCTGAAAAATGTGGAAAGTTGCTCTAAAATCAGCTGCTATGACGAATTTCGCCATGCTGAACACACAGGGTTTTGTATTCCAAAGGGTTTGCCATGAAGAAAGTTCGATATTCCAAAAAAGTATATTGATACGAAAGCTGCATTAGTTGCATGATTGGGATGAGTAATGATAACCATGTCAAAGAAATGTAAAAGGAGGTTGTCTCATAAAGTTAATAAATAGTGGAAAATAATTCAACCTAGCCAAGCATAATAAATAAATCAGAAGTAAATTTCTTTTTCTTTTTTTTTTTATTTTGTGATCCACATGGATTTCACGCATGAGTAATTCCTTACTGTAACAACTAGGAATAAAACTTTATAGCGCATTATAATGTGTAACTAACCCTCCTATTAAAGTTTTCTTACAATTATTATGATCGAAATGCCATGAGAATATCAATTGTACCTTGCGTTTTGCAAAGAACGCTTTGACAACATTACTCACTGGCGATTTGTTTACTATACTTAGTTTGCTATCTTTCTTCTCTATCTGTGCCTGTTCACATATTTCAGAAGAGCGAACCTCTGTCATAGCAGACCTTCAGCATAGCGAGCATTTATCATAGCAAACTTTTTTGCCATTACGGACCATCGTCATAGGGAACCTTTGTCATAGTGAACCTTCATCATAGAGGCACCCTGTCCAACAGTTTCCTCCAAGAGACCAGGAAAGACTCAAATAGTGCCAATGTAAATGGCTTGTATGAAAGCTCAAATATGCTGACAGACCCCTGTCCATCACAATTTGCTCACCAGAGAGCAGAACAGAATTGAAACGAAGTCAGTGTAAATGGTTACTTGTGTGAAAAGTCCCAATTTTGACAAATCCATGTGTCTGCTACCCTGTCCCCCAGTGTGACAGAGCTTCCGTGCTGTGGGTGGCAAATTATTTGAGACCAAAGTGCCTGTCCTTAACATACCACAACCGAAACAACTGGAGGGACGCCGCATGAAGTACACAAATCAAAACAAGAAACCTATTGAGACAGCAAAATGAAGGTTGACAATTTTGTTTGAGTCACTTTAAATCACAATTTTGTTCAAGTTATTTAACAGTATATAATCTATTCAAAAAACAAAAAAGTCTTTGAATCAGCAAAAAAAGGCAGACGGTTTTGTAACACTCATTAAATTTTATATATGAAGTTCAATTTCATCTGTTAAAACTACATCTTTATATTGAAACAGCAAAATATACCAATTAGATATTTATGTAAATGCTGCCCATGACTTCTTTAATTTTGTAAAACATAAATCTATCAAGACAGCAAATGCAGGATTAATTTAGTTAATGACATTCGAGCGTTTCATTTCAGACGGATACTCTCAAAAAGTACCATATGGCACTACAAATGTACAAACTTATTTTCCATCTTTTTCCATCATTTTATATCTAAACTTGCTGTAAAGTCATGAAAAAATTTAGTTTTAGAGTAAAACAACTTTCCAAAATGAAAACACCTGTAACAATATTCTGTACTTACTATGAAACACTGTAGTGTGTTGCAGCTTAAAGCAGCAAATTTAATCTTACAACTATTTACGTGGGAGGAAAAACAAGGAAACCCCGATATAGGAAAAAGCATCACCGCATTTTTTTTTTTCATAGTCACAAGGAAACGTGCGGCAGACAGATGCAATTATGTAGGTGGGAGGAGAGACAATACACCCCAAAATAGAAAACAAGAATCAATAAACATTCTTTCCTATGTAATTTATGACTTTATGAAACTGTGGTAGATGGTTTGGGGAGGATAAGGCCAGTCTACGGGGGACATTGACAATGACATTCGCCTAAAGGTAATCACAACAGGCATAAATATAAGCTGTCACCTCCAAAAAATGATGAACTTCATATGTATATCAGTGGGGATGGGGACCGTTAGTAATGGATGTGACAAGTCTTAGGCAACTACTTCTACTGCAGCAGACAAGGCCTGGGTGTATTTCTTAACAAACAGGGCAGGATTGTGTTCAGTAAATAACTGGTTGTGATTAATGAACCAGGCTTGCTGTGGCTCCAGGCTCCGTCTCTGAACTGGTCCGCTGCCGTATCACACTGGTAAAAGGATATTAGCTTTTAATGGCATACACTGTCATTCTCATCTTCAATCAGTGAATAAAAATGGTTGGCAGACAAATAATAGAATACCTAGTCTTCTCAAGTTAATCCAGGGGAGTAAATCCCTTCGTTAAAATGGACACCCCCTCCCAAAAGTGCCTGGTTAGAATTTTTCAGCCAGGTTTATAAATTGTTTTCAAACCTAATATCCCTAATACACTTTTAAATCTTAATTTGATATCCATTTTTATCTAATGTCCAGACAGTCATAACTGCAGATAAATAATACACTGGCTTCCCCCTGGGACTGGCTTCATTTCTGTTATAAAGATTAATAGACTGCTTTAAAAGCAATCATCTTTAAAACATACTTAAACCTGTGTCTGATATTGAAATGTGCCTATCATTTTGAATTCATGATGCTACCAAGACCTTAAATGTGCAATGACCATTTCAATAATGCCAGATGGGAATCCATCAATCAGCTTAAAGAGAGAGTGCTTGGTAGTATTTTGCCTCAAATCTTTTTCTTTTTCTGTAGTAAGCCCATGGTTATCTCAAAGGCATCTTACACCCCTTTGAAATAATGAAATTAATACCCCTTTTCAAAAAATTGCATGTTTACATGAAGGTAAAATGCAAGGAATGCAAGTGCCCATTCGTTTAAAAGAGACACAAAGATGTTCTTAAAATGTATATATCTATGGGGTATTTCTGAGTTTGGAAGTCTTCTAAGTGATGGATGGTGAGCTCAAGCAAATTATTGAGGATGCCTGGAAAATATGTCGATTGTATCTTTTTAATCTTCAACTATCACTTTGATAAACTTGCTAGGTGATATCCAAAACATATAGCCTAAGACCACATTCAGATTCACACATCATACTGTGTGTCTGTGATTCTAAATATTTCCTAACATGCTGATTAAGCTGATTCCACTGATTGCATTTAGCGAGAATCCCCAGCAGAGTTGGATGGACCCAGCTATTAAGATGTGTGAATCTGAATGCTCCCTAATATGCTGCAGAATAGATTACCTTTTGATACACTGACATACAGGGCTCTGGTTCGATATCAGGTTCTTCCAGTTTGACCACACCCACCCAGCCAAACTTGTAGAGATCATCGTCATCCCCAGTATTACACAGGCCCAATGGATGCATCTGAAAGAAATGAAGTAAGAGATGAGAACCACATCTAAATCAACTTCTTTTTGTGAGAATTTTCTGGCACAAATGACCAAAGCAGCTTTCAGTTCTCAATTTGGATCACCTTATGAGGAAAGAAAAAAATAAGAATATGTATTTTTGCTTATCTTTTGACTTTTTTAACCAAAGCAACTAATAATCACTCTGCAGCATTTTGTTTCTCATATTGAACTGAGGATGTATAAGAATTACTCAATACTCAGCCAATATTATATTTGGCATATCTTGTACAAAAAAAGACTAAACGCGTTTAGAGAAAACATAAAAAATTGACATTTTTTTCTTTCTCAAGGTGACATGGGATAATTGTGCTGCTAATTAGTGAACTATTCAAACAGAAGTGAAAATAGGACAAAACAATATTTTTAATCGCCATACACCTTTGGTATCCTGGCACTGGGTTTATATAAATGTTAGCAGAAAGTACACTGCAGTCTCAGGTCATCCTTACAAAGTTTCAGCCACAGAATCAATTTGCGGTTTCTTATTTTGTCTCGGTGTTTGAGGTTTGATCAGATCAATACCAAATCCAACAACAAGCCTTGAATAATTTACAACTTTTTTATGTTGTAACAATTAAGAATAATTAGGTAACTTTCACCAATACAAAAGGCTGTGGTTATTTGTAAGGGGGGGCAGAGTGGTTAGGCAGCATTGTTTTTAGGTGGAAAACCAGCTGACCTGCTGCTTTTTTCCCAACCAAATAAATTGTATTGAAAATCAGACTCATTGCATCCCTCAATGAGCTGAAAAGTAAGTATAATCAATGCTCTTCTGGGGCAATAATCCGTATGATTTCTGTAATCAACCATCCAGATATTTTCCTTGCATATCTTTTGCATTAACAAGTAACTACCAAAATTAGTGCTTTCCTGGCTACCACAACATTTCTACCTAATTTCAGTTTGAACAAGATATCAGTAAGGGATATTTTTCAATTATCAATCAGATTGAGGTTGTAGAAAAACACAATTCTGACAGTAGGAAAAAAGTAGTATGAATCATAAAATGTGAATTTTAAGAACTGAAAATCAGTATAAATAAGGATGCTGTGAATTATGGAGCCACTTACAGTACCAAGGGTCATTACTATTATCAATCCAGCTTCTCTCTTATATTTCCTATGTCCAGTAGCCAGGGATATGGTTACTTAATACACCACAGCCCTCAACTTAGGTGGCTGATTTATTAGTCATATCACAAATTCAGCTTCTTTCCAAATAGCCATGTCCAGTAGCCAGGAACATGGTTACCTAATCACCACAGGGATTACCCTAGGAAGTTGATTTAGCTGCACCAGGTGGCAAAAATAAGCCATTCAAATAAATCTAGTGAGCTACCAAAATACACACAACTTTCTAGGCAATGACAGAGAAGATTCCCCTGGGCCTTCCCAACAGCTTGTATTACCTGTAAAATTCACACAGAGAGCACTTAATCGGGGATATCGCGTTTCTCTTATGCAACTAGGCATTTAATTAATCTGTCTGTGAAATGCCTGCCCTCTAGGAAGTGAGGACTTAATCAGATTGATCAGACTATTTGCTACCTTTAATGGTTTGTGGCATAATAAAGACTCAACAGCCCTCAAACTAGCATGCATAAAGTTAATAAATAGTGGAAAATTATTCAACCTAGCCAAGTAAAATAAATAAATCAGAAGTAAATTTCTTTTTCTCTTTTTTTTTTCAATCCAACTTGAGATTACAGATGAAACAATATTTAGATCTTAAGCCAAATGTTCAAATAAGTGGGTTCTCATAAAATGGTATGATTTTTGATCTTTGAGTAATGCTGACCTATAGGTTTATAAATAACCATACAAGGTCTAAATATCAGATAAGTATTGTGTGTTGCTATCTTTCTTTTCTGTTATTTATACCGATAGTAACTGCACATAAAAACTTCCTTCAGCAATATGGTTCTATTAAACCTATCTTCTTGTGGCATCTTTGGTATACAGGTATACAACTGGTATACAGTAACTATGAATAAAGAAGTTTTGGGAAGCAAAAGTCTTATATTATAAAGTCATTTTCAAACCAATGCTCTGGGGCAAATGACTTGACTTTTGAATTTTTAATGACACCTCTTTTTTGGCCTTTCACAATCTTAGCAAGGGATAAGGCACATGGGCTTTTTATGCAGCACGTATTTTAAAGTGAACTAGGAAATGGCACTCTGCCGAAGAAGCTTTCATTCAGTGGCAATTTACTTTATGGGAAATTTAACCTTTTCTTGTAGCAGCCCCTTCCCCACTTTGCTGTCTTTGCACATGTTAAGCGGAGCATGTAAAATAGGCCAAACATTTTCCATTCAGGTTGAGGGAAAGCACTGGAATGCACATGCTTATAAGTAAACAAATTTGTTGATGTACATGTTGTACTGAATACTTGTTGCGAAAACAATTGAGCACTTACACCTTACCTTGCCTCCTTCATCTTCAACAGTGAACTCAGAGAGCCAGTATTCAAATTTGCTAGTCTGTAACTGATATTTTACTCACTCTACAGGTAATATGGAAGAGCATGCAAACTAGGTATGCCGTTTTTTCTTTTAAACTGTAATGAAATTTTTTCTCGAACCTCAAAACGTGATGACATTTTCATCTATTTTGTCTACTAAGAACTTCATTTTACTATATCTCAATACTACTTGATAAATAAAACACAGGTGGCCATGAGCACAAAAAGAATGGTTATTAGTCTAGCCCCTCCCTCACAACATTTTAATCTTAATGAAAATACTACCACTTAATTGTTATTGCGAGAACTATCTAAACACGTTACACAAAACAACTAATGGACAAATGGACATTCCCAAAGATGAAACAAGTTAAGAACATGGTAAAGGGAAGCACGTGGGCAATTTGATAAAATAAGTGCATTTTCAGCAATAACCAATGGATAGTTAAAACTGCTTCGCTGGCTAACGGAAAAAGTGAGGACAAGCCCTTCTCTATCAAAACACACAAGCAGACCAGGGGTATTTTGTCAGCAAACATATCACCATCACAGGCACCTTGGTGGTTGTATGTGTGGTATGGCCAAACACACACACTATCTATCTGATAGCTATTGTTTCAACTGTACTGTCATGCAGTGTTTAAACCATTAGAGACAACTGATTCGGGACACCATCCCATCGTTTAGTGCCTGAAACAATTTTCGCTTTCCACAAGACAAGCAACTGCCAAGTCTGGGGCAACACCTGGGATAATCATGTCCTGGAATGTCTAACATCTAAACTGAAGGCCAGAAAGGAAAATCATTTGAGAGAAAAATGGAAAAATATACAGAAGACTGGATTTTTTTTAAGATATGAAGAAAGGAGGCTATTTACTTAAATGCACCAACCCCGACTATGACCATCACTTATTCCTTACAGCCTCACTGGCATGGGTCTTGGTATACTAGTAGAATAAATTTGACACATTACACTGAGGTAAATGCATAGAGGCAACTGGGGAGAGGAGAACCAGACACAATTTTCTCCAAATTCTTGACAAGGAAATACCTACCACATTAAACTCAGATTAACTTTGGTAACGGTTTCACACACAATAAGATACCTTGGCTTCTAACACCTGTGTCCTATATATATTACAATAGTCCTGGTCTATCCGAAACCTTAACACCTGAGGAATATAATGGTCTATACAGTAATGTCTGACCATCCTAACACTTTAACACCTGAGAAATATTCATGGCATACAATGGTCAGTACCATGCTATATGTTAACACCTGCGAGTGCTATTCTAACTGGCAAGATATTGATATCATGGGTGAAATGAGAGAGGAAGCTAGGATTTCTCGCAGAATTATAAATGCTTTTCAACCACACACTGGGGAATAATCCACAATTTATTGTGAAGCTCAGTCATGTTCAGCATAATACAAAAATAAATAAAGAAAAATAACAAAAATATTAAATAATTTCATGCACATCAGATTAGCATTAGGTTTACATAACAACTCTCACATTGCCTACTTTTGACTGACCATCAGAAGACAAATCAAATATGCCATATTTATGTAAATCTATAATTTAATAAAATGAGAGAGAGAGAGAAAGAGAGAGAGAGAGGAGTTAATTCTCATATAGTGTGACATCTCTCATAAAACAAAAGATAATTAACAGGTACTGTCAGGACACAGGCTGAGAGAAGGGCATTCACCTGGACCCATTTATGATGTCACTAACTTATCTAACACTACAAGAAGCCCTTCTTTTTTCAACACTGTATTGTGGGGGAAGGGGAGGGGGGGGGTAGGAAGTGAAGGGCTATGAACCTCAATTATACAGCCACCTGATTTCATATTGCATGAAGCCTTATACTTTCAGCAGCTAATGAACAGAAGTTGTGAGAGAAGGCCTCTCATTCATGAGGACACTGTATAGAGGTCTTAAAGTAAACCACATAATTAAATGTCAATGTAAAATGGGGGTGGTAACTTAAGAGGTGGGGAAGTCAAGTATACCTTATCATGACTACCTTCTTCCTTAATTACCATTCCGAACAGAGCTGAGCTTGAATCGCTGTATCATTATTGTTCACCCCTAATCCAAGAGGTTGAAGCAGTTACCATACTAATGAAACAAGTACTATAGTGAATCCCAGATTCAGACACAATAACCACAATGATATGTATGCTTTCTAAACAGAATGCTGTTGCTTTCAAGTTTTTCTTGTGCCATTTATGGTTAGTGCTTCAAAAAATGACACTAGTCCAAATTAACTATTCTCAAATAAATGTCAGAAGCATCTGTAGTAATTATCAGCTAGTAGACCACGGCAAGAAAAGAGGGAAAACCAAGAGGGAGGAGTTAGGGATGGATGGATGGAAGGAAGGAGTGATGTCTGAACCTAGTAACCTATTTGACCTTACTCCACTAAGTGACCTATCATCATATGAGTTTCATGTGGTAAAACATTTGACTTGTGTACACACAA